ATAGGCCATTTGCAAGTTCTTCCACGCCTCTGTATCAAAACAAGGTTAAGTGCTCAGCCTTCGAAATGGAAATGATTTCCCATTCTCATGCAATTATAACTCATATTCACAAGAAAGGTGCTGCACTTGGCCTCATTTTGAAAGTGAGGGTTCTTGGAACTCAGAAATGGCCTTTTTGTTTTCCAAGCCTAATCTACTGTGATCAAAGGATTGTGATTGCTGTTTTTTTGGTATGAATATATGAATCTGCCCTAAAGTTAACTAAGTTGTGGATAACAGGTTTGATTTGAATAATAAATTTATTAACAGCAGCTTCGCTTTTAGCCCTGGCTAAATCTACATAATTATTATTATGATGGAACAAAGACAACAATATCTTGAAGTGGGAGGGATGGATGAATGGGCTAAGATGAATCTTCATATGAATGACTAAATGAATTGATGAATGAATGAAGTAATAAGATGAATGAAGAAAAGAAGAAGTGAAATAAATAAAAGAATAAATAAATTAAGCAATTAAGCAATTAAGCAATAGCAGTGGATAGAAGGACGGGTTGTGGGATTGATAGACAAGCAGAGAAACTGGCTGATGTAACAGACAACTTAACAGACAGATGTATAGAGAAGGCTACTGCATCAGAAAACTCAAATAGTTTGCAAATGTTTGGCTTTTTGAGCCCAGAATAAGACCATCTCCTTTACGGAGATATAACATGCCTAGCCTTGAGTCTAAATACTACCTCCCCACCTCACTCACAGACTTTTCAATGGCACATTCAGATAAGTTAAGATGGGCCTGCTCTCTAACCAAAACAAAGTAACCAATAGCATTCTCTGCTATGCATGCATTGGCCTCTTTGGTCTAAAAATGAGAGGTCAGTCCACCCTCATGTCCCCTTTCCCCCACCTAGATCTACTTTTCCACAGTCAGGATATATACCATGCATAGTGTCATATATTGGAAACCAGCCATCAATACTTCCAGGTGGATCCTGAGTCAGAAGAGGACCTAAACTGATGTTAACCTGAAACAAAACATCAGTACAGCAGTAAGTAATTAAGTAAGATCTCGCCAAAAGTGAACTGACAACTTTCATTAACTCCTTAACCAAACCAAAACCAAAATGATGCGGGAAACCAACCGATCACATAAATGAAACCAAAACCAAAATGCTGTCAGTTCACTTTTGGCGAGATAAAAAACAAAAACAGCCTTTAATTGTACCATTTTTGATTGAAATGTTATGTTCAGCCAGTTTAGCAGGCTGTATTTCATCTAAATTTAGTAGTCAAATCACCAGTCAGCCCTGTGAAAGCTCTCCTGATTAGACACTAAGCTGGTTGGTTTAACCAAAAAGGAAAGTCTAGTCAAGAAACTTCACAGTTAAAGCGCAATTCCTGGTCCTTACAGAATGGAGTTGAGGGTGAAGTGGAGTCTAAAAGGTCCCCTTAATCAACTCATTGACTCTTTTAAACATAAGTGACTTTATTGTCACAGAAATGAATAAAAGAAGACACATGTATGGTCTGTATGAGTTGAGAAATTTTTACAGTCAAGGCAGGTCAAGCATACCCCCAAGATTCTATTAATGTATTGATTATTTGAAAAATGAATCTGTTAGTCATTCCTGAAACTATTGTCAAATTCACATCGGCAATCCTGTATGCGTAATGAGCAGTGAATATTTTACAAAACTTCTCTGTATTTGGTCAGATTGAAAATCTTTGAATGGATTAAATTTCTTACAAGACATTTACATCAAATTCACGGAAACTTAGCTGGTGGAAATTTCGTAACTGAATCGCATATGAATTCATGGCTCATTATGCATGCAAAAATGCATAGACAAATCTGAAATCTACAACTACCAACGGATTCAACCTTCGAATAATAAATTCATTAATGCAATCTTGTGGGGTACGCTTGACCTGGCTTGACTATAAGGACTCAATATTCAACCACTAGGAAGGATAATCACCCTTACACCTGGGATGATAAGAATAAATAAGACTCAGCAAGGTTCTTAAGATATCTAATGGTTAAATGCAAAGGACATGTCTGTGCATGAGTTAAGTTGACTTCATACAGTATAACCAAGTACAAAATACTTTATGTTGGAATGTTTATCTAAACATTATAAGCAACGCAGTTGGAAAACACATGACAAAATGGTTACCAAAAATCTTGTAAAAAGAACCATCAAAGAGTCAAAACAAAAGTGGCAAGAAGAATCATTCTTACCTTGCCAATGGCATCATGAGCAGTCACTGTATCATAGTCCATTATTCTGATGAAAAATGATTATAAAATGTTGAGCTATAATAAATAATAATACATTCAAACATCCATGTGCGACCATCTCTTGCAGCAACCAGCCCCTATAAGCTATCACCAATTCACTCTCGTAAACGACCATCTCTTGTAAATCAACACCCTTTGGGATAACCATTCTGAAATTTCTACTGCTTAAAGCCTTGTAAGTGACCATGCACTTGAAAAAGGGTCTGACCTCCAGATCAGCATGCAAAGAAAGTAGTATCTGATAGCCCGGGACTAGCGGATTTTGCTATCGGGCCAGTGAATTTTGTTTTTAGCTTGCCCGATAGGCAAGTGAATTTTTTGGGGAATTCAAATTGCATAAGAACTGTGTAATCAAACCTGCTTATCAAAAAGCCTTTGGGGCTAGTTAAAGTGATGTTTGGGCTAGTACATGCTAGCTACAGGTAGCCTGAATGGCAAGCTGTAAAACGGACTTTCTTTTTTTTTTGCACCCTGCACATATATACATACTCTTCTAATACTAAGAGCGAAAGACAAAATGGACAAAATGACAGCATACTGTTCTAAAAGTGTCCTGTTCTTAATTCTAACCCCCGGCCTCACTCCCCTGGCCCTTTTCCTCTTAGATCCAGAATCACGACTTTCAAAATAAACCAAATTTCAGACCCCAAAGAACTGATTAGAGTCACACACAGAATCCAGCATGATGTTGCAGTAATATTGAGTACATCATTCCATCAATCTAAAACAAGTTTATCTGGGGTGTCAAATTCTCAGTCATAATACTTTATGGATACTCATATTAGTTTTTTTGATCTGTTTTCGACAATTCAACACAGAATATTTCTTTTGGAAAAGTAATAAAGTGGCAAATAGGGGTGGGTATTGTAGCAACACTCAGCTAATGTTAACAGCAAGGACATCTGTAACAAACTGGCCTGTAAGCAATGGCCACCATCAGACATAAATTTGCAATTTGTAGGGGAAATGACCTTGGCATGCAACAAAAACATACAAAGATTTAGTACAATGAGAATGGGAAAACCTCATCACCTGATCTGCAGTGGTTCATCCTGAAGTTCTTCATCATCAGTCTAAAAGTTAACACAGTTTTTTCAACACGGTCAAGAACCATAAAATAACAAAAAACAGGTTCTGATCTTTTGATTACTAATCTTGTTTCTTCTATTTTTCATAAATTATATGTTTGTTGTTCAAGGTTTGCTAGTTTTCATTCCTACTGAATTTTTCAGATCTTTAATAATTGTTTCTGTTCTGGTCTAATTCACAACTTCTGGATCATATCCCTGTTGTTTTCCATTCAGGTCTTAATTCTCATTTTTTCCTTCAAGTATTCTTGTTTTCCATGACTGATGATAAAATACCACTAGTCTATTATAATAATTATCAGAGAAATCAAACAAAATCAAAGATATTATAAAAACACAATACACTTTTCATACCTCAAACCGGAACCACTCAGAATTCCACTGAGGATTAAGTGACTTCTTACAGACATCTGTCTTGTACAACACGTTACCGAGTCGAACCTATCAGAACAATTAACAGTGTACTATTAACTACTTGACAAAGGTGAAAATAACTTCCTAAATTTTGTGTACACAGTCTGCTGTTGAAGTGTATGTAGCTTGCTTTTTTATTATTAAGTCCAGAAGCAATTGAGTGTAGCCCCAGGGGAGGTTTCCCAGATTTTAAGTGATGGGGATGATTGACGAATTTGTTTGGTATTGAAATTTTCGATTCTGGGATTTTTTTGGGAGGGAAAATTTGGCAAGTATTTCTTGGGTAGTTTGATTTAAGTAGGGATTTGGGGGGGTATTCAAAACAATCTGAAGATTCTTGGTAGTGCCCATGTATCCTGCCGGCTGTATAGTCCTATGAATAAGGTACAACCACACTTGTTGTGAATAAGTAGGATTGCAAGAGAGTGGGTGTCTCAAGGGTTGTTAGAATGACTACCAGACTAGATGCCGAAAAGATAACTTCAGATGGTATGATGAATATACACAAACATTCAATTTCTAATGTTTTTATTTTTCATATTATATCATTTAATGCCTTCTGGAGATTATTAATTCTCGGTAAGGGGATCTTTCTAGGTTTTGTTGGAAGCCCTTGCGATTTGCTTGGGTTTTGATTTCGCCCCTGTTTGATTATCCCTGTCTCTTTTTTTTAAATATATTTGTAAACAATAATACTGTACTAAAATATACACACCAAGAAAAGCCAAGACAAGAGGAATATCTAAATCAGTAGTATAAGCAAACCTCTAAATTTTAAGATGCACGCAGAAGATCACTCAGTAAGTTTACAGAAGGGCGATGTACGAAACCCTTATATTGTAAAATATACTTTAAAAAACAATGTCACCATGCATTTGAATGGAGACGTTTGCGTAGGCGGTTCAGTGAACTTGCCAGGTACTGACCTTCTAGAGCACGCCGGTGTTACGCGTGAAATTAAAAACGTCCGTATTTGCGATCACTCTACCACACCAGAAACAAACAGCTGTTCAAGTTTACAGTGACCGACTTGCACAAGCCTCAAAAATGTAGTTTTCCGGGTGCAGCCATAATTTCTGAATAGCTATCATTATTTCTGTTAGGGTTATTCTTGCTTTTATAACACATTTTTCGTTGTTGTTTACAGTTTCTGCTTAAAATCTTCCAGTAAGAGATGCACATAAAGTGCTTTAAGATCGACCACCAGTATCAGAGCCTTCGCCGATCGAAATCTACCAGGCGTTGCAGTTCTCCCAGAATGCCTTTGTGTCCAAAAGCCACGTGCCACGCGCGAAGGAAAGCTGCGGCCATCTTGCTTTTTGGTCTTGTTTGCACTTTCTTGTTTCTTCGGCGAAATGGCCGGAGACGGTGCAGTAGACATCGATTTGTACGCTCAAGTAGATGAATTTGAGCCCGACGTTACTGGCCAGGTAATATTTTGGTCATTATAGTCATGTCAAAGAGAGAATCTGTTTGCTTTTAACTGTACTGCAGTAAGAATATTGAAACTTGACCTGTTTGTCGTCGTTGCTAGAAATATTGCTGTGTTGTGGCGTTTATGTTACGTTAGCAATATCCAAAGACTTACTTAGAAGTCTATAAAGGGCCTTGTTTTTCCTTCCCAAATGCAGTATTTACTAAGCTGTAAGCAACATATCGATGAGCGTGCATTACTGAATGCAGTAGAAAGCTAAGAGAATTGAAAAGAGTCTTGGATTGTACTGTTCTGACTCTGTGCGAAAAGTCGCAAACTTGATGGCAAGGTAGAGAAATAAATTCAGTATACTGAATGCGTAACATAAAGCCTTCGGAACAAGATTACAAGGCCCTATTGTAAGGTCTTAAACAAAAGTGGCTAGTCATAAAGAGTGTTTTTAGAACGAGAAAGGTTTTTAGTCATATAAGTGTAAGACAAACATAAGAGAGACATACAAGGGCTTAACTGCAGAATACCCAGCGATTTCGAAGCCATACTCATATAACAGTGGCTACATGGCTACGGGGCTACCTAGAATACCCGGCCACTTCAAAGCTATTACCCCTCACGTAGCCATGTAGCCACATACCCCAGGGGTTTGGTTTTGGGTTATGGTTGGGGTTAGGGTTAGTGTTGGGGTAAGCGTCAGTGTTAGGGTTAGCTGCGTAACCACGTTGAAGCATAGCCCCTTGCCCCGTAGCCACCAAGCTGCGAAGCCGCGTAGCCATTCTTATAGGAGTATATCTTCGAAATGGCCGGGTATTCTGCAGTTACTCCCATTAAAGTTTAACTTTTAATGAACAAGTAAAGTTATATATTTTATTGGCTCAGTGGCTTGTCAGTCAAGGTTAGGGTCTCAAAAAACAAGATAGCTATATATTTTAGTGACTGAGCTGCTCGTTGGCTTGTCAATGACTGGCGAGCCTCCTAGCCATCCCAACAAATACATACCTAGAAAATTGGCCCTGTATTCTGTAGTTATGCCCCTTCTGGTCTTTCTATTATAGCATCATATGGCTGAAGGGTTGGATCTATATGATGATGTACTAACCACAGGAGCAGAAATGCCAGTGGGACCTGAAGATGAAGTATTGCAAGTACAGGTAAGAACACAGTCTGACAAAGATGTAACCTGCAGAAACATTTGTTGTTTCTGAACTTGTCTAATAATAATAATTTACGAAAAATGAAAAACAGGAATGATAAACAGTCTTTAATGTACATTTACTCATTTGGGGGAGATAAATTTACACAAACACTGCCAAGTTATGGTCTTCCAGGTAAGTAAAAATACCTTAACTGGCCTTCATTTCAAATGAATGTAATACAGGGATGCACCTAAGGAAAAGCCATGCAGGCCTCTATATTATTCAAGCCAGCTTCTTTACACAACTGCACCTTCAAAATTATGTACAACAAAAGAAACAATACAACCAAACAATAAAGCCCCCGGGAGAACTCTGTTGTTTGGTTTCTTTGTTACTTTTGTGATGATGGTACCTGCAGAAAGACCCAAAATTACCCCATGTCCCTGCTTTCCAGAGTCATTTGAGTCAGTGGTAAGGTCTTTTTCAGCTGGTGAAATTAGCCTGCCGCGTCCTCTTAGCAACATCCCTGGTAATATGAATCAAACTTGTAATACATTGTTTGACGCGACATCCAGACACTGAGAAGGGGATTGAAAAATGAGGCAAGCCAAGATTTGTAACGCTGAGTTTGAGGTTTCTGGATGTCCAATGAAACACTGAGTGGTGTGTTTGATATAGCATCAAGACTGACAAACAATTTTTGAAGAATGGAAAGGTAAAGTTCACAAAATTTTAAGGAATTATCCAAACTTCTGTCATGGTAGTGATCATCCTTTGTTTCTTTTCATGAATTATTGATGAGTTTTAGATAGTACTATGAAACACAGTAGGTCTTAGTACATACCTTACCTTGGCTTACTGCAAACTGACTCAACACACCACAGAAATGACGTGATTGTTAAGCAATTTGTNTAAGGAATTATCCAAACTTCTGTCATGGTAGTGATCATCCTTTGTTTCTTTTCATGAATTATTGATGAGTTTTAGATAGTACTATGAAACACAGTAGGTCTTAGTACATACCTTACCTTGGCTTACTGCAAACTGACTCAACACACCACAGAAATGACGTGATTGTTAAGCAATTTGTTATACTTCAGATTTCCTTTGCTTTTGCGTCATGAATCATTGTTGAGTTTGAGATAATACTATGAAACACAGAAGATCTTTTGTATGTATCTTGCCTCGGCTTACTGCAAACTGACACAACACATGCACTGTATCATGAATTGTCAGATGTTAGAACCTATGTCTTCAACAGAACTGGGCGTCAAAAGCTGTCAATGGCCAGGGTGTTCATTAGGCATTGGAGATTGAAGAATTCCCCGTTTACTATGCATAATTCTACGGCAAATGTTTATTCACCTATCATTGACTATTTTATATTCAGATCTGGAACATCTGTCGAAATATTCTCCTGTAACATTACACCTTTCTCCTGCTACTGGAATTTTTTTTGAAAAACCGTGAATGTTATTTTAAAAAAACAAGTCAGCAACAATTTCCATTGTCTATACTCTTATCAACCATAAGTTTGAGTTTCCTACTTTTGATGCCCACTAGTGTTTTTGTTTGGTCTGTGCATTTACCATTGTAATAGCACAACTGCCATAGTCCATTGTCAAGAGAAAGCATAATAGTTGATGGAACCATTCTTGGGTTGACTTCATTTGAAATTTCTTTTTTTTTCAGTATGGGGAGGAAGTTACTGGTGAAGTTTTACCTGAACATGAGACAGCCCAGTCAGGTATTGACACTAAGAAATAATTTATTTGTCATTATTATTTTCTGTCCAGGGACCCACCTGATTTCTTTTCAGGCTCGCAGGTATGAAATCAGAGTCTATAAGAAGGTGGTGTGGTTTTTAATAAAAGATATTATTGTGAACAAAATGTTAATTTTATAGGTTTGTGTCTTTATAGTTTTCAGACACATCATACCAAGATTCTCTGATTGTTTCATGGCAAATATTTTTTGTCTTTAATTGTTGGATAAACAAGTGTTTTCATGTTACGTTTATTTAATTTATTACTTATTTTATTTATGTAGGTATTTACTTATTTATTTAATATTACTTTTTGCATCCTCTGTCACTACATTATTATTTGTTTATGTTTGTCAAAAGATGTTATAATCACAATATAGTCTGTTGTAGTCATCACATGACAGAGCTTTAATACTCTCTTTGTTGAAGGAGCATACGAGTACAAGTCTTATACAACAGTCCATCCCAAATCTGCTGCAGCCAGATCTTCAAACACTTATTATGAAAGAAACAAAGGAAAACCTTTGTACGTGGGCAACTTGACATGGGTAAGTTTACACAACACCAGTACTTCCCCATATCAGTTTGTTTTGTAAGGGAGCCCAGTGCTCTGAAACTGTGAAATTCAGAATACCCAGCTTGTATTCTTTTTTATGAAAAGCTGAGATTCCCTAGTCACCAAAGAGCAAAGGTAAGGTGCCAGAGGCCACCAAGCACTGCTGGAACACAGCCCTGAACTATTGAGGCTTGAGTCCTGAACTTGGCATCATTTTATCAAATCAGCCTTCAATTTTTAAGTCAGAAGTCTGAGTTTATGACCAAACTAATGGCCACAACAAGTTCTAAACAACTGAAGAGTTCCATAACGGTGGGTTTTACTTGTGTTCATCTAATCTGTGAACTCTTTGTACATGCACCAAAACACATGCTGCTTGACATTCAACTGTTCGGTTATCAGATTCCACTCCTTTTGAGGGAAGAAGATGTGATTTTTGTCTTTTAATGTGGTGTAGCAGGCTTTTTTCGTGTCTTCAACCCCTTAAATGAGGGAGGTATTGTTCATTGCATTTGCTACTTCTTTTCTATCCAAGTGAAGTAATCAAGTTAATAATATCATTACTTTGCGTTATCGCTTATGTCTTTTAGTGGACAAATGATCAAGAACTGACAGAAGCCCTTCAAGAGTGCGGTGTAACAGACCTGATAAATATCAAGTTCTTTGAGAACAGAACCAATGGCCAATCTAAAGGGTGAGTTGAAATGGCAGAAAGTATTTATTGTTAAACTTAAGTAATAACATTCGGTGTGGTTAAGACCATCTTCAACCATTAATTTTGTGTTCTTTGCATCAATGTTCTTTTAGTTTTATGCTCATGAATTAATCATATGTTATGTGCTACTTATTTAAGGACATGAGACAATACATAATTTCAACTTTTTCTGAGTTTTTGTTTGTGAAAGTGATCGACTGGTAAGATTGACTAACAGAGTTTGTGGTCTTTCATGATAAATTTTGCATCACTTCTTTGATTGCCGTGTAGTACTTTCAATAGCATTGCCTCTGTGTCAATGCTGAAAACCCTTCTGATATAACCCTTTTGTGTTTTCAGCCAATCCTGCTGTTTGAGTTTAGATACAATGCACTCTTTGGTTTACCCACTTAACCAAAAGAAAATATCATGAGCTTTATATTGTCTAAATTAGCTCAAGCTGTTATTATTAGTTACAATTAACGAAATTTCTCAGTCCTTCACTGCCCACCATTTTTTTAGTAATCTGCTATCTACACAAAACATTTATTTTGGCTTTTTCTACATCCCTATGTATGCTTTTCAGGAAGCATCAATGCAGACTACTTTTACTGACTCTGTGTTACTGTACTCACAGCTTATTCAGCTATTGAGTGACAATGGATAGCAGTGGGTACTGGGATGGTATCATTCAAGGAAGAATACACCCAACTTACACCAGAGAATTATTTAGCTGCNTATAACCCTTTTGTGTTTTCAGCCAATCCTGCTGTTTGAGTTTAGATACAATGCACTCTTTGGTTTACCCACTTAACCAAAAGAAAATATCATGAGCTTTATATTGTCTAAATTAGCTCAAGCTGTTATTATTAGTTACAATTAACGAAATTTCTCAGTCCTTCACTGCCCACCATTTTTTTAGTAATCTGCTATCTACACAAAACATTTATTTTGGCTTTTTCTACATCCCTATGTATGCTTTTCAGGAAGCATCAATGCAGACTACTTTTACTGACTCTGTGTTACTGTACTCACAGCTTATTCAGCTATTGAGTGACAATGGATAGCAGTGGGTACTGGGATGGTATCATTCAAGGAAGAATACACCCAACTTACACCAGAGAATTATTTAGCTGCCGTGAATATCATTCACAAAAAAATTGCATTTTGTATTTGATTTTCATCTCGTCAAAAAAAGGCCTCATCAAATTTGTAAATTAGAGAGAAGCATACCGATTCCACATAAAATTTGTAAAGACAGAAATCGTAATAATGTATTATAACAATAGAGTATAAAATGACTTGCAATTGGCAGAAAAAATATTTTTGTTTACCCTCTATTTAAACTGATACATTGTGTAAATATACAGTATTTTAATTTGAATGTATTTATTTTGTACACTAAAGGACATTGTGCAGATGTATTTTTTTATGAAACGCAATCAACAAAAGTTATATAAAAATATATAATACTTATTATTTTGCTAATTTATTTGAAAAGAATTCAGAATAATTATTGTATACTGTAAGTAACCACTGTAATCAATAACTTCTGTCAAACTGTATTTAGGAATTACATGTATTTAGTACTTTATGCACATGACCTGTTGCGCAGGTTGTACATGTAATTCTTGTCTACTTGCTATGGTAATTATGAGGTCTGGGGTTTGGCCGCTATGTTTGTATCTGTTTCTTAGCTACATGTACCTCTGGTGGAAAACTTGAAGTATTTGTCTTTGTAATTTAAGTGTAAAATGAAAATAAATATACTGCACTTGCAGTCATGAATCTGTTTTTTTTTTCATATTACAAGAAGCCTTGTTTTCTTGTTTTGGTATATTTCCTTCCCACTAAGCTCTGTTGGTACGTTTGAATTCACTGACTGACACCTATCTTAACTTAAAGAAAGTTTCTTTTTTTTTCATTGTTTGCCTGCAATGGTTCTCAGCACAATTACATGAGCTACACATGTACTGTAACTGAATTTCTTAAATTTTATCTTAGCCAGCCCTAATGTTGCTACTTCCTAATTTATGAAAGATGGCACCCTGTTTTTGAAGTGTTATTTGTTTATTTTTTTTTTACCCTATAATGAAAAAAAGGTTATCTTTATTTCAAGAGGGTTGCACATTTATGAGATCTTCTCCTACATTTTGTCTCAGGAGATCTTTGAAAAACTTTCTCATAATATGAAAATTTTGGCCCTCTCTGTTTTTTCCTGTGGAGACAACAAGATCAGTTGCATGTAAGGTCATTAAGAGACAGTTGTTCAATCACCTTTATTAGAAGGTTTTATTGAATGTGACTGTCGGTTGTGGAGTGTGTTGTTTTCATTGTGTACTTTTTACTGTATTTTGTTGTCAATTTTTTTAAATCTCCTAAACAAAGAATGCTGGCATTTGCCAAAGGGCTTGGCTTTCACAAGTGAGTATGATTGAGTAGCATTGAGTCGTAGGCGATGATTGGAGCATGCATTACATTGTGGTAATGCATGTACCATCATTTTAGAACTTGTATGTGTCATCTCATTCCAACCTTAAGATCTCAATTATTAGATGTATTCATGTAAAATATTTCCAGTGCTCTCGTAGCTCTTGGCAGCTGCCAAAGGGGTTTGTATGGACCCAGAGGCATAAAATCAATATATGCAAAATCCTGTTCATAAAACATTAAAGAGAGAGTTTTGTTTATCCATAAAGGATTAAGTACAGAAATAACCTGTTCTGGTCCTTGTAAAATGAAACCAGAAATGAGAAAAGGTGATTTAAATTAGTGTTTCACAATGTAGGATCTTATGGATGCAGTACACGGTAAGTTGGAAAACTGGAGCTGACACGACAGAAAAGCAACCTATTAACCACTCACATATAGGGATGAATTTTCCCATATTTGCCACAATATTGTTATAAACTGTAATTATTGTAACTTTTTTCCTTCCACTTAGATTTGCTATGATTGAGCTTGGTTCAGAAACATCATGCCAACTTGTCACAGAAAAATTACCAAAAATGTAAGTTAGTCTGCAGGGTGCAAAGAAGGTCAGTTTTACAGCCTGCCGTTCGGGCAAGCTGTAGCTAGCATGTACTAGCCCACAAAGTCATTTCAACTAGCCCCAAAATCCTTTTTGATTAGCAGAATTGATTACAATCCTTCTGTAACTTGAATTTCCCCAAAGAACAGTACTTGCCCATTGGGCAAGTTAAGAACAAAACTCACTAACCCGATAGCAAAATCCACTAGCTCCGGTTTATCAGACACTACTTTCTTTACGCACTGGTTTGAAAGTGAAGGTAAAATTAGAGAAAAGTCTTAGATAGTTCTGCTACTTTGGTTGTGTTCCGCCCTTGGTTATCCTGTGCAAGAAACACATTGATCTAGCCTTGTTTCGGGGGGAGGAAAGGGGGCTGGAACTCTAGGAGAAAAGGGGGTGGGAGGGGTACTGGAGAGCAGGAAAGGATTTCACAGGTTCAGAGCACTGGGCTCCCTGTAATTTTTCTTAGGGCACAGTCTTGCCAAGGGTATACACAATGGTTTTTCTCTTACATTTACGTGCAGCAAAGCAGGGCAGGGACCTTTTAGTGAGACCAGAGGTCTGAAATTTGAGTGGTCAATCCATAGCTTTTATCCACAAAATCAAAGGATTATAATAAATCAATTAAATAGATTATTATGTATCTTGCTTAATTATTGACTCTTAGAATGAATGAGTTACAGGAAGTGACTTGGAGTTAATTCATAGGTTTTACTAAAATTATCTACAACTGTATTTTATTTCACACTTGTTGTTTTTCCCTGTTTTCATAGGGAGATTCATTCACAGTTTCCAGTAGTTACTCCAGCAACAAAACAGTTCTTACAGCAGTTTGAAGCACAGTCGAGAAAAAGTAAGGGTGTTGTCATTTTTTTTCCTAATAAATATTGATTTTTACTGCTAGTGTGAAGGAATTAAACTAAAAAAAAGAAAAGATGGCTTCTTGTAATATTAAAAAAAAAAACATATTCATGACGGCAAGTGCAGTATATTTATTTTCATTTTACAGTTATATTACAAAGAATAATACTTGAAGTATTTGTCTTTGTAATTTAAGTGTAAAATGAAAATAAATATACTGCACTTGCAGTCATGAATCTGTTTTTTTTTTTAATATTACAAGAAGCCTTCTTTTCTTGTTTTTGGTATATTTCCTTCCCACTAAGCTCTGTTGGTACTTTTGAATTCACTGACTGACACCTATCTTAAGTTACAGAAAGGTTCTTTGTTTTTTCATTGTTTGCCTGCAATGGTTCTCAGCACAATTACATGAGCTACACATGTACTGTAACTGAATTTCTAAAATTTCATCTTAGCCAACCCTAATGTTGCTACTTCCTAATTTTTGAAAGATGGCACCCTGTTTTTGAAGTATTATTTGTTCATTTTTTTTTTTACCCTATAATAAAAAAATGGTTATCTTTATTTCAAGAGGGTTGCACATTTATGAGATCTTCTCCTACATTTTGTCACAGGAGATCTTTGAAAAACTTTCTCATATGTAAATATTTTGCCCTCTCTGTTTTTATCTGTTGAGACAACGAGATCAGTTGCATGTAAGGTCATTAAGAGACAGTTGTTCAATCACCTTTATTAGAAGGTTTTACTGCATTTGACTGTCGGTTGGGGAATGCGTTATTTTTATTGTGTACTTTTTACTGTATTTGTTGTCAATTTTTTATAAATCTCCTAAACAAAGAATGCTGGCATTTGCCAAAGGGCTTGGCTTTCACAAGTGAGTATGATATTAGCAATGAGTCATAGGCGATGATTGGAGCATGCATTACATTGTGGTAATGCATGTACCATCATTTTAGAACTTGTATGCGTCATCTCATTCCAACCTTAAGATCTCAATTATTAGATGTATTCATGTAAAATATTTCCAGTGCTCTCGTAGCTCTTAGCAGCTGCCAAAGAGGTTTGTATGGACCCAGAGGCATAAAATCAATATAATTATGTGAATTCCTGTCCACTAAACAAAAAAGAGAGAGCTTTGTTTATCCATAAGAGATTAAGTACAGAAGTAACCTGTTCTTGCCCTTGTAAAATGAAACCAGAAATGACAAAAAGTGATTTAAATTAGTGTTGTACAATGTAGGTTCTTATGGATGCAGTAAACGGTAAGTTGGAAAATTGGAGTTGACACGACAGAAAAGCAACCTATTAACCACTCACATATAGGGATGAATTTTCCAATATTTGCCACAATATTGTTATAAACTGTAATTATTGCAACTTTTTTCCTTCCGTTTAGATTTGCTATGATTGAGCTTGGTTCAGAAACATCATGCCAACTTGTCACAGAAAAATTACCAAAAATGTAAGTTAGTCTGCAGGGTGCAAAGAATGTCAGTTTTACAGCCTGCCATTTGGGCAAGCTGTAGCTAGCATGTACTAGTCCACAAGTCATTTCAACTAGCCCCAAAACCCTTTTTGATTAGCAGAATTGATTACAATCCTTCTATAACTTGAATTTCCCCAAAAAACAGTACTTGCCCATTGGGCAAGTTAAGAACAAAACTCACTAGCCCGATAGCAAAATCCACTAGCTCCGGACTATCAGACACTACTTTCTTTACGCACTGGTTTGAAAGTGAAGGTAAAATAAGAGAAAAGTCTTGGATAGTTCTGCTGCTTTGGTTGTGTTCCACCCTTGGTTATCCTGTGCAAGAAACACATTGATCTAGCGTTGTTTTGGGGGGAGGAAAGGGGGCTGCAACTCTAGGAGAAAAGGGGGTGGGAGGGGTAGTGGAGAGCAGGAAAGGATTTCACAGGTTCAGAGCACTGGGCTCCCTGTAATTTTTCTTAGGGCACAGTCTTACCAAGGGTGTACACAATGGTTTTTCTCTTTCATTTACGTGCAGCAAAGCAGGGCAGGGACCTTTTAGTGAGACCAGAGGTCTGAAATTTGAGTGGTCAATCCATAGCTTTTATCCACAAAATCAAAGGATTATAATAAATCAATTAAATAGATTATTATATATCTTACTTAATTATTGACTCTTAGAATGAATGAGTTACAGGAAGTGACTTGGAGTTAATTCATAGGTTTTACTAAAATTATCTACAACTGTATTTTATTTCACACTTGTTATTTTTCCCTGTTTCCGTAGGGAGATTCATTCACAGTTTCCAGTAGTTACTCCAGCAACAAAACAGTTCTTACAGCAGTTTGAAGCACAGTCGAGAAAAAGTAAGGGTGTTGTCATTTTTTTTCCTAATAAATATTGATTTTTACTGCTGAAGGCTATCTAAGAATTACTTTTTTTTCAAAACTTAGCCAAGAGACACACTGTTAATTTTGAGATGCATACGAACATTAGGAAACTTTCCTTTTGGAAAATGCTTTGTTTAAACCAGTGGTGTGTAACATTCCTCAACATAAGTCTCCAGTAACTCAATGTTTAGAGTTTCGTCAAACAAGTACTTGGAAGCTCGTGGGCTGGACATTTTGAGGGCATAGAGAATTTTTTTTTTTGGTTATGTGGGGATCCTGAAGTTGCATCTAACTCAGTGGTTTGTCCCAGCTACCCAGGATAAGAAACCACACTCGGTGAAAAAGATTCTGTGGTTACAACACAAACTATGCCAAATTTTGCTTGAACAATACCTGTAGATTGACATTTTTTTCTCGCATTTGCTTCAAATGGAAATTCACTTTCATTTTCTTGCTTAGCTGATCAAATCCGCGTATTGTCTTGCAATTGAAAAAATTAATGATTGACATTGAAGTAGTTAAAATGCTACCAATCATCTTATACAATCAATGTTAAGGTACTAACCGAAAAAATAATAAACATTGATTGACACACACACAGGACTTGAGAGCATTTTGTAAGAAAATTAATGATAAGTTTGTTGGTAATTTTTCAGATAACCCTGGGGCTCCTGGAGGAGGTCATGCTGAACATGAAGGCCCAGGATACCAACAAGGTGGAGGCAGGGGATTTGGATATAACCGCGGAGGGTTCAGAGGGCGTGGTGGATTCCCTGTCCGTCCTGGAATGGGCCGTGGGTTTGATCATGGACCACCTCCTGGAGATATGGGACATGGAGGGCCCTGGATGGGTAAGGAGACCATCAATAATTTGTGTAACAATGAAGAAATGTCTGTAAAAACTATTTTGCTTTCTGCGAAGAAAGGCTTTTTAAAAGCATGTTGGCCAAGTTCTAAGGTAAAGCTTTCTTTTAATTGACTGGGACCAGTTTTACAAAAGGTAGATATACTATCCACTTGATAAATCTTTATCCAATGGATAGCTCAGTTGGTTTCCCTAAAACTGCTGGATAGTGATTTATCTGCTGGATAGCACTATCCACCAATTGAACAACCCTCAGCCTGATGTGTAACTTGCAAGCTCTGTTTATATTAAGTCTCAAATGTTTTTGGAAGCAGTTTCAAAGTTAAGTACATACCGTATATGACCTAATAAACACTCACTTCCAAATAAATGCCTCTTATCTAATTAATGCCCCCGCTACGCTGTTAAAATTCTATTAAATGCCCCTCTCTAATGGACGCCCCATCTGATAGATGCCCCCTTTGAGAATTACTCCAAAGTACTAGGAATAAGAAAAAGGAGCAAAATCATTTCAATTCATTCAGTTTCTTGCTTGATTAACAAGACTTTGCATATTTTATTTTATTCAATCTCAAGTTCAAAGTAGACTAACACTGGCAACACAATAACCCTGAGCAAGGATTCTGATCACTGTTGAGATTTGAAAGAGCAATATAGATCTGTAGATGGCCTAGACATATCAATTGATTGGTGGAATGGATATTCCGCTATTTTTAAACCCTTGTAATTTTTTTACCAAATGCATATTAGTTTTATTGAACTTGTGTTACAGCTATGAGAATAAACACCTCTCTCTTTTAAATGCGTCCTATCTATTTAATGCCCCTGCTTGGAACCCTAAAATTGAATAGACGCCCCGGGCGTTTATCAGGTCATTTATGATAATGTAACAAGGGACAGATTAAAGGCATTTTGTTCAATTCAGCACTTGTTTTTTCTCATCCTTCAGGTCCTGGACATATGGGAATGCCTAGACATCCCCCACCTGGGATCCCGCCATATGCTGAACACCCACCTCCATACTACCCCATGGTACACCCACCCCATGGCGACAAACCTCCTGGCCCCATGCCACCTCAAATGCATGTACCACCGGTAAGAACACTAAGAATGCACCCTAATAAATAAAAAGAAGAATTTGGTATTTGATCGGGAGTCACTTGGGGCCTTATTCCACAACAAACCCATTAATAATAGAAGTTTCCATGGTTTTTTCAACTATTGACTAGGACCAGTTAGTGAAAATCCGTCAATACAGCTGTAAAGAACGCCTTAAAATCAGTGTAGTTGCCAAGTTTGAAAGTGATTTGTGGAAAACTAACTGAGATATAGCTCTGCAAAGTTGTGAAATTTTATTTGTATGGTGGGGGGCGAATTAGTGTCCTCCACGATACAAATATCTGTAAAATGTCATGGCTTTGCGGAGCAATATCTTTTCTCTCTTCAGACTTACAACCTTTAAAGTTGGTAAGTCACTTCATTTTAAGACCCTCTTTCCGGCAGTGTCAATGGATATTCACTTAATGCTCTTTATCAAAAGTTGAAAAATTAAAACATGGAAGGGTCTATTATTACTACCTAGTATGGTTGTAATATCATTTCTGTTTTACATGTACTGACCCCCGTTTTAGAATATGATCTTATGATGTCGGTGCCAATGCATTTTGTAGTCAAGTATATAATTGTATTGTGGATCTTCCCATCTCAAAGTTTTTATCTTCTATAGGTCACATGGCTTTAGTGTATCTTCGTATTGAAGTTAATTATTTAGTCCACTGCTTGATTTCAAGATAAGATGGTTTTGATCTTACGTAGTGTTCCTAAATGCGGAGAATACAACTATAAAGCTCACGAGAATCACCATACTTGCATGTATGTGTTTCAGGTCAAATTTGATTTCAGGTTAAATTTTTTTAACCCAGATTGATTCTCAATTTTCTTTGTCTCCTAGCCCTAATTATTCATGAATTAGGGCCCGGAAACAAAGGGAATGAGATTCAACCTAGGTTAAATCAAAATAATAAACCTGAAATCAAATTTCACCTGTTACATGTATATTACCTTACACTGATTTTCTAGGTTTTATAAAAATTATGCTATAAAAATTTTTGATTTTTACTTTTTACAATGTACTAAGTGTAGAATCATTAAATGTCTTCTCTGTTACTTTGTATATGATTTTGTTGTTGTTGTTGTTGTTGTTTAATTTAGCAACCCCCACCACCAGGAGCAGGTCCCATGCCTGATCACAGGGCTCCAGGTACTTTTAGTCTTTCTCTTTTTGTTTGTTAATGAAGCTACAATCAAAATTGTTGAAACACTGTCCTTAGCCTGTGTAGCAAGCATTTTTGTGTGGTTTCGGAGCAAAGAATGAGGAACTAGAGTCAAAGACTGGCACTCTTGTTCCATTTTTGCGCAGCCAAACCTGAAACAGCACTGCCGAATTGGTCTTAAGTGTGCCTGTTTTGGGTCCACCACTGCCAAGCCGGATTTGTTGTAAGGTTAATCTTTCCTAAATTTCATTAGCCAAATTTATTTTCTACTTTGTTGCACATCAGAAACTGAGGGTAACATTTAATCTCTTTTAGGCATGGTTCCACATTTTCCCAAACCTCCTGTTGCACCACATGTGAATCCTGCATTTTTCCCTGAAGGACCACCGGTAAGTTTCTCTCCAAACCATGCATGTGCATACCACATTATTATAGATTATTTCAGCTTCTCTAGAAGAATATCTAAGATATGCAAAGAACTGAAAATAAATTGGAGAACAAGTCTTTCAATGTTAATATGCCTGTTACAACAAGCTTTTTAAAAAGGGGTTATTGTAAGATGGTTTTGCATTCAGTTCTTTTATAATATGAATGCTGTGGTGTTGTAGCAGAGGGTAGTTATCAAATCAGTGAAAAAAAGCTTTGGTTGGTATTTGTTTATTGTGGCTTAAGCAGAATCTTTAAAGCAAGAGAAGTACTACCAGCTGTGCCTGCACCTGAGTACTTCTTGCCACCAACCCATAATCCTTCTGCCTTTATCTGATTTTTAGCCGGATGCGTTCCTAGCAGCTGGAGGTCCTAATGCAATGTCGCAGTTTATGCCCAGACCTGCAGGTACTCATCTGCATTTATCTAAATATCGAATTAATTGTTAGAGCATCCATTTGTAAAATGTGGAAAAATTCTGGGTCACTACAAAGTTTATAATACCTTTAATTCTTTTGTAACTCCTTGAAATGTCCCCGCATTTCTCTGGAAAAAGGGATGGCATATTCTCTCCCTGTGTTTTAATGTTAGCCAACACTCAAATAGTGCCAAATCTTATTAAAATTACAGTTTGACGTGAATAGACAAATCTTGATATATTAAAATTCATACTTGGCTATGAGAATAAAACAAAATAATGAAGTCATCTTGAGGCTCAGCAATGAATAATACGTTTCTTTTGTTTTAGTCCCCCAAGCCTCTGAGCCAAATATGAATTTTAAAATATTGAAATTGGTCAATTGCAAATACTTATTCATTGGGTAGTGTTTTATCAGGAAGACTGATATTGAAAAGTTGGTCTCAGGTTATTTGTGTCCAGTCTAGCGGTCCTTGTAACAATAATAGGCACCTTAAGATTGTCCCTCTTATGATAACTTATCAGGCCCTTATTGTATTCCTAATTTAGTTCTATTTATGTGCTAGTCAGCAATGGAAAAGAGTTATAATTTGGGGGATACAGTAAAGAGGAGAAGTCATTATGTTACGTTTCCTTGGTAGCAAAAATTTCTGGATCTCAACAAACTGTTGAGATCAAAATGGCAGCCATGTCCATCAGTGTGCTCACATATTTCTTCACTGACAAGCCGAAATCAATTAATCAGGGAGAAAACCACTATAATTCTAAACATGTTGACTTATTTGAATATTCTAAGTGGGAGTTTAAGATTCCACTGTGGCGACGGCAACAGCAGCAAGAATGACAAAAAAGCTGAATAGGTTAAGATTATCAAAACAACAGCTTTGCACATGCAGTGAAACTTTTTGTACATTTGTTTGCAGTCATTGCACTACTACGACTTGATGATGTGAATTGCCATCGTGTAATTTCATGTTTTATCAACCATGTGTGCATGTGACGACGAATTTCTTCATCTCTTTTAAACTTGGATATTTTCTTAAGAATTCAACTCCAAGAGAGTTCCCCTACAGCATAAAACAAAGTGAGCAAGTTTAGATAATCGATCTGAAGTTTTATTGAACGCAAAGTCACTTTTTAGGTGACGTCATTGCCGTCATGGTGTGTTTTGTTGAGATCCAGAAATTTTGCTACCATGTTAATGCGACATCACCCTTCTCTCTATTGGCTGGAAATTCCAAAGTCATACTCTTACTTGATTCCTACTCATACTCATATCCAAAGGCCAGTGATCAGTCCTTGCTGTTGGAGAGGTCTGTAGTGGGGTAGAAAATTAGGGAATAAAAATGTTGGCTGTATGGGAAATTTTAGTTTCTGATCCCGTCCCCCTCATGCCCATCTATCCAGTCTTTAAGTCAGTAATAAATGCGAAGTGACGTTGGTAAATTCATTTCTAGATGAATACAGTGAGTCAATGAAGAGAAATCAGGTCCTTGCCAGTAGTGCTATCAAGAGAGCTATGGCTGATGCTAATGCTGGTAAGCTGCTATTTTTATCTTTCTTTTGATCTCACCCTTTCACTTGTGAGTGTGCCCTAATTTAAAATATCCTGAACTTTGCATTGTAGCTACTGGGGAAAGATAGTGTAATATTACCATGTAGGTACTGCTAAAAGGGTTTTATTTCAATAGCTGTACCCAGGGCTGTTGTCCTAGGCTTGATACTTTAACTTTATGTCCCCATGCTTACCTTGGGCGCCAGGGGCTTTTTGTCACTTGCTGCAATTGAGTGTGGCAGACATGCTTTGGGGTCAGTCATAGGCCGACATCTTCGACCAAAGGGCTAAGCCAAGAGCTGCAAAGCTGCAAGAGAAAAACTTTTTTGTGTAGGTTGCTAATGTAAAGACCTGCCCGGAACTAATAGTGTATTTAATGGTGTTTGTTTTCAGTTATGTTCATTTTAATATATTTACGATATATATAAATAACTTGTATGTCAATGCTGTGACCTCTACCTGACCACATCTATGTAATGGGAAACGCGTAGATGTAGATGTTCTCTCTCTAGGTCTCGAGTGACAAGTCTGCCTGCAACACAGGCTACTACAATTGACTCCAAGGGTGAAAGGGTTTTGTGTGTAGATACAGTAACACATCTTACTCTTCTTTTAACAACTAGGTGACTATGAAAGTGGAATAGAAACATTAGTTGGAGCTATCTCTCTTATCAAACAGTCACCAACAGCTGTAGAGGAGAGATGTCAGGTAAGGCACTTTGAAACAACTGAGTCAAAATACCCATTGTGTTCTGCTGATTATTTAAACGATGATTTTAAACTGCGGGCAGTCCTGCTGCCAAACTGAAAGGGACTGTTTGCAGATTAGAATGATTTCGGACAGTGGAACCCCGCTGAAACCATCACCAGTGGGTCATAAAAATTTGGCCGTATTAACGGGGTGGCCGTATTACTGGGGGAGGGTCAAATTTCATGACTTAAGCCGACCGGAATGACAAATACACCACACATTGCATTCGCACTTCTTGAACAACTGTTCTCTTTAATAAACAACCGGAGTGAAGATATCGCGAACAGTAATGGCAAAAACTACTTGAAACTTTTCTTTAGTACATAAAACACTATCATTAAACCGCCACAATTGCTTTTGAAGTGTACTTCAGTCTAAAGGCAATACAAGAACAGGCTCAGCTGGCTAGATCAGTGAAATTGACACGTCACAGGCATTTTAATTTTCTAAATTTGGCACAAGTGGCCTTATTATAAAAGATTCTGCTGTTTGGAATTTAAAAATGTGGCCGTTGGCTGTATTAACGGGTGACCGCAGTAACGAGGGTTTTTTTTATAACAAAATGTATGACGACCGTTTTGCCGTTTAAACCAGGTGGCCGTAAGGCGGGGTTCCGCTGTACATTACCAAAAAGGTCAAGGTTTTTTTTTCAATGCTAGTTTTATGTTATTAGAGCGGTTTTCATTTGTGTGTCGAAAAGTAATTGGTTTTGCACTTTCTACACGATGCGATTGGCTTAAAAGATTCGCGCCACCTTTTCATCCAATCAGAAGTAAAACCAAAGCCAATTGTGACGCGCTCGCATGCATTTTCCCGCGCTTTGCGTCAGCCACATGTAATTACTTCGAGTTTTGATTGGTTCAATGTATTGTCTGTGTCCTATGTGATTGGCCAGAGTAATTACTTTGGTTTTGGTTTTACGACACTCAAACGAAAACCACTCTATGATATCCTTTAGTCAGGTGGTAGGAGACTGTTCCTCCATAGCTAAGTACTTCTGACCTACCACTGTCCAACATCGTAGTCCTCAACTTTCTGCCTGCTAATGAAGTAGCTCGCACTTTATGAAGCTGTTAGGAAGCTTCCTTAAAATGCTCATGTGCTGTCCACAAAATAAACTCTTCAAGAAATATATCCATCATTTTTAAATGGTCACTATCTTGGACAAAACTACTTGACTTGAGAAAATAACCCAGGCGTGGTATTTGGCTTAAGACCTGTTCCCCTAATTCAACGACTGATTCACAGCCGACGCCTGGGTAACACTGACCAGATGCAAATGACATTGATTAGAGGAGAGGTAGGGTCATTAACTGTTTTGGTCGTCTGTCTGTCTTTCCGTAGAAGCGTAATTTTCTCAACAATTTGATGCAAGTTTTTAGATATTCCAGGTCGTGACCGTGAAGTAGTGACTGGATGTATTATTTCTGTTCTAGGTACTTGTTCAGTCATTGCAAGATTGTCTTCAAGGACTTGAAGCACAGCTGCTTGAAAGAAGGTAAGTATATATTGCTGAATGTTTCTTTAGCTTTAACTATCAAAAATTTTAATATTTTGTTGAATAGCTAACATGTGGCTACCAAAGGGAATGTTTAATATTCTAGGTCAATTAAACGTTAGGAAGTTTTGTTCCGAATCAGGGAAAAATTGTTTTTTTGAAGAGGTTTTTTTCTTTATCCATTTCAGATCGATAGGAAGTAAACATCATTACAGTGAGAAGGACGACTTTGAAGGGGAAACCAGAGAAAAAAGACATAGGCGTAGTCGACGGTCGCGGTCCAGATCACGTGATAGGGACAGGAGGTCAAGGTCACGAGACAAACGCTCAAGATCACGTGATCGCGAAAGACGCCACCGAAGATGATAAAGCGTTTGTGAAGACCTGTTATTTTGAAAACTTTATTTCAGAGAGAGGGTGTTTTGACGTGGACTTTGTCTCACTTTTCGCAAATCAAGAGCTTTAAAAGGCTTACTTCACGTTTGACATATTTTACCTTCTTTTACGTACCTACGTTGCTTGCAGTTAGCTGTCAAGTACATCCAAAATTGAATGAATTTTGTGAATCACGTCCGCATAGGGTAGGGTAAAGCTCTTCTGTAAATAGTCTCGAAAACTTGGATTCATTGTCCTTTCCTTACACTTAAGTTACCCCCTGCTTTAACGAAAGAATTGTTTTCATTCTGCATTTGTAACTTTGAAATAGTAACATAAGTGGCAAAGAAAAATGTCTTTCTCTTAGCTATCTATTCCGAGCTATTTTGAAGGCAACGTTTTGTACCTCCGTCTTTTTAATCTTCAGTTTACTTGAATAAACAAGGAGATAAACTTTTTTTGTAGTTTTATATGCCCTTAGTTTTTCTATTTTTTGTCCCGACGATTCAGTACGTAATCCGCGATGGAAAACAGAAATTGTGCTCCCCAAACGATCAGATCTTCGCACAGGTGGCACAATGTACCCACTTTGGTACATTATAGGAGTCATCCAATCGACATTAATTTGATGTTACACGCGACGATTTTTACTGCAACACAGCATTGCGACATTTTTTCGAATGGTTACAATATTGCGATGCTGTGGTTCGCTGAAAATCGTCGTCGCGAACCGTCTCGGCCTTTAAGGTGGGTTTTTACTTATCTTTACAATATTAGCAGCGAAATAAATATCTAAGTCTAGGAACGAAAAAAGTAGCTCATTCCTATACCGAAGGTCCCCAAAAGAGGTCTTCAATCCTGTCGGTCCCGACGTGAATCTTCCCTGAATCGCGCATTCTCGACGCTATTCATTCATTGACTAACCTTGATCCCGAGCATACGTCGATAAGGTGCCTTACAAAAGAAAAAAATCGACCATTTTTGAAGGTCCCCAGTATAGTTCTTCAATCCTGACTGTCCCGTCAAGAATCTTCCCTAAATCGCGCGAACTCGACGGTTTTCATTGACTTGTCCCGATCCCAAGTAGCCTCCCACGCAGTCCTTTAGTTCGTCACGCAATCCTCCAAACGAACGTGAGGCAGGAACGCGTGACGAACCGTTAAGGACGTCCGCGTGGGAGGCTACTTGATCCCAAGCCGACGTCTTTAAGGTGCCTGAGAGAGCAGGGTATAGATCGACCATTTTACGGTTGCGCACCAGACTGCAATCGTGGGTTAGAATTATGTCGCACTGCACCATGGGATTGGTTCGGGCACGCTATGGCTTCTTTTATTCCCCAAAACAGTCCCATACTGCATTTCGACACAACATCGACCCAGTCTCACTCTTAACACCAAGATGGTCACTTCTCTGTCATCTTTGGAGAGTGATGTTAACCTGTTCTAAGCGCTCAGTTTATCGGGACGAGCGAAAAGAAAAGCGAGCGCGTTAAAAGATATGGTGATAGGACCACAGGCTAGGGTCGAGTAACCTCACTAAAGGAGTGTTTACATGATAAATGGATGAGTGGTTCACTCCACTTCCCTCTCGTGACTCTGTATACCACATAATTTCCTCATATATGCCGCTTCCATCCCCGTTGCAGCAACAGGGCGAGAATTTCATTCCGGTGCAAATCATGTAAACAAGCAACGACCACTGGTTTGGGAATGTTGGTCATGTGACAGGAACATGTTAACCTGATACGAAATCCAAAGGCCCCCGATATAAAGCTTGCGCTGGTACAAGTTTCTTATGTAAACACCACCTAACAGAACTAACAGATCTAATTGTTGATCAGGTAAAACCCTATACTGTAGGCTTTTTTGTGATAAAAACAACTATAAAATATTCGTGCTCCCGCCAGAGGCTGCGATTCCTTTAAGCTCGATTTCCACCGCTCTCCCGAGTTCGATTATAATTCCTCCACGAGAGAGACTATCGCGGGTAATCTGAGGCGGGTTCATTTTCCCGGACAGCGGCCGGTAATCGAGCCTCCGATTCGTTTGGGACAGCGGTGCGATACAAATAGGAAGGTGGGAAGACATATGAGTAGAAAAATAAGGTGCGTGTAACCTAAGACGCATCCTAAATAAGCCGCCAACTCCCCGTAATGTAATATGGGATATGCATGCTTGATACCGGATATGCGGGGTTTACTCGAGTGCCACAACGAGTTTTTTTTCTTTTTTGGCGAGATACATATTTCTAGTATATGGGATACAAAATGTATTCGGCTCTAAAATAGAACACGTCCTAGTTAAGACATTTCTCTAAAACATGTCACACATTAAGTTCGTGTCTTTGACGCGTCTTACTTTTCCCTATTGGTACAGTATGTTTTATCATACATGAAGAACCTGCCTAAAAATATAATGGCACTTCACCTTGTATTTTGCTTGTTAGAAACACCTGCCATCTGAATCAGCTTTGTGAATGACACTTAAAAGAAATAGACAAAAGAATCTAACCAATAAAGACCTTTTGTCGTATCATTCGCATAATCGCAAATATTCTTTCCTTTAATAATTTATTCGCTCAACTTCCCCTAGCTTAACTTATACATGACTATCATTAAAATACATTTGCCCGCTTCATTTTTGCCCACATTAGTTTGACAAAGAACATGATAGTGACTTTCATTTTAGGCTAGGGCAGAACGCTTCTGCCTCATAATGGATTTGAATAAATGATCATAAACTGGGCTAAATGCAAATGTATAATCTTCGTTTGGTTCTTCATAACATTACATATTAAATTACGAACTAAACTGTCAAAAGACATCATATGACTGAGGCGACAAAACACCGTATTCGATTGCTAAAAAGCAAAAACCATAATTATTATGCGAAGAGACAGTAATGTTTTAAAGAGGACTGAGGTGTCAGCTTAAAGGTGACGAAATTGTTTCTAAAGCCGATTTCGAGGATTTACAGTAATATTCGTGTTTAATTTGTAAACGGAAAGAATTCCCATGACAAGTTTATGATTTATTTAAATTCGACTAACTGGCCTTCAAATTTGCGCTGAATATTTAACGAGAGACAACTAAACGGTTGCTATCCTTCTTGTTGCTAAGCTGAAAAGTCAAACTGAGTTTAAAGCCAAAATCATTCAGTTTACGATTTGAACCTGGGCGCCGAGAATTGGAAGAAAACATTCTGTTGAAGCAGCCGTGATTTTTAAAGCTGTCTCATGAAATCGTTTGTTTGAATAAGCGTGAACAAAATGTCTTCATCGATAATTGCGGGAGTAAACGTTGAAAACATATCAAGACATCTGAATTGCAGTCTTTGTAAAAGGCTGATTCGAGGTCCGAAACTACTTCCCTGTTTACATTCATTTTGCCAGGTTTGTCTTCAAGATCTCGCCGAGAAACTCGCTCCAAATGAATCGCTGGTTTGTCCACTGTGCAAGACAGACGCGAGAATTTCAAGAGATGATATAGAAGCTTTGCCAGTTAATTCATTCTTGGATAACATGTTGGATATTGCATTGATAAATTCGAGCGACAGAGAACCCGTGCCGTGCACGAACTGCGACTCCGCGGCAAATTCTAGATGCGCTGACTGCGGGGAATTTCTTTGCGAAAAATGCTACAGCATTCACAGAAGGAGTCGGCAGACGAAAGAACACAAAGTTCTCACAATTGGCGAACTTCTTGAGAGCAAAACCGGCGAAGATCTTCACAGGCCGGCATTTTGCAACATCCATCGTAGTGAGCAATTGAGATACTACTGCGAGACATGCAACGAAGCAGTATGCAGAGACTGCGTTCTAATTGAACATCGCCAGCACAAATACGATTATGTGAAAGACTCAAAAAAGGTACAGAAACAGAGAACGGTTGTGGAGAACCTGTTCGCGCAATGTGCAGAAAATATCCCATTGCTGGAAAAGTCGATTAAACAGATTCAAGGCATTTCAGAAACCCTTCATGGGACGCTGGCCACGGTGAAAGCAGAAATTCGACAAACTGCTTTACAGCAGATAAAAGTTGTAAAGGACACAGAACGAAAACTTTTGACGGAAGTGGAGAAGATTCATAACGCGAAATCGACAATTTTGCGGCGGCAAAAGAACAAATTGGAAGAAGATTTCGCGAGGTTTAGCGCCGGTTGCGATTTTTCTGAGCAAGTATTAAAATACGCTAACGAGGTAGAGCTACTCTCGCTGAAGGTACACATCACTAAAAGACTAACAGACTTAAAAAACACTGAACTTGACTGCGAACCACACGAAAACGCTGAACTCAAATACGAAGTGAACAACAAGGAAGCTGAGGCCATGCTGGCGCATTCTTTAGGAAGTATAAAGACAAATGTCAGTCAACATCTACTGTTAGAAGATATTGAGGTTCCTTCAATGAATGAAAGCGCGAGCGAGACAGAACATGTTCTGAAAGAAGCTCCAAAACTTTCAGTGGAATTGCGAGACTCAAGCGGAGTTCTCCTTCCACCTGATATACTTCATCAAGGTAAATATATTTCTTTTTTTATCTGCGTCGATATAAACTGATAAAAGATTTATTCCTCCTCAATTAGTGTATTATTTTGATGCTAGTACGATATACTGACGAGCAGTTCCGTTTCAATTGCAAGTTTTGTTTTGCAGTTCTATACCATAAATTTGCGCATTTTCTCTGTCTCATTTAAAACAATCTTTTTTCTGAGCCATTTAATGTTTTAAAACATTTTCATATTTGAGTTTTTCCGTCATTTTTAATATCACCTTGTTCAAATACTCTAATGAAGGAATTCTTCCCTTTAATTACATGTTTTCCAGTCATCTCCGTTACCTTGTTTCTGTAAGTTCAAAGGTTAAACAAATGAGTATATTCGTCTTACTTATTTAAGTTGGCCTATAAATCATTGAATAGTTTGCTTATTAAACATGTATAGCTTGTGTAAATCCCGTGGAGGGACTCCCATATAAAAGCGAGGATGCTCGTCGTCTCGCTTAGGGGTCAGAAATTGCAGATTTTGGTCTCACTTGGATAAGCGCGTTTGAGCCACACCCACTTTGGTCTCCCTTAGGGGTTTAATTTTAATTTTCCGACAAGCATCCCCGTCAATTTTATATATGGGAGTCCCCCGCCGGGATATGTAAACTTTGTTTCAGCATTAGACACTTGCTGGAATTAGGCTAACAACTCGTAGAACTTAATCATTTTCTGGAATAATTTGACTATTTAAAGGCTATTCAATCAGAAAATCTAGTTTAAGTGAATTTCTTTCAGCTCAATTTTTTCCTCTTTTCTCCAAGCCGACGGACAATCATTCTCAGCTTATCACCCTTTCTTTTCATACATGAAGAACCTGCCTAAAAATATAATGGCACTTCACCTTGTATTTTGCTTGTTAGAAACACCTGCCATCTGAATCAGCTTTGTGAATGACACTTAAAAGAAATAGACAAAAGAATCTAACCAATAAAGACCTTTTGTCGTATCATTCGCATAATCGCAAATATTCTTTCCTTTAATAATTTATTCGCTCAACTTCCCCTAGCTTAACTTATACATGACTATCATTAAAATACATTTGCCCGCTTCATTTTTGCCCACATTAGTTTGACAAAGAACATGATAGTGACTTTCATTTTAGGCTAAGGCAGAACGCTTCTGCCTCATAATGGATTTGAATAAATGATCATAAACTGGGCTAAATGCAAATGCATAATCTTCGTTTGGTTCTTCATAACATTACATATTAAATTACGAACTAAACTGTCAAAAGACATCATATGACTGAGGCGACAAAACACCGTATTCGATTGCTAAAAAGCAAAAACCATAATTATTATGCGAAGAGACAGTAATGTTTTAAAGAGGACTGAGGTGTCAGCTTAAAGGTGACGAAATTGTTTCTAAAGCCGATTTCGAGGATTTACAGTAATATTCGTGTTTAATTTGTAAACGGAAAGAATTCCCATGACAAGTTTATGATTTATTTAAATTCGACTAACTGGCCTTCAAATTTGCGCTGAATATTTAACGAGAGACAACTAAACGGTTGCTATCCTTCTTGTTGCTAAGCTGAAAAGTCAAACTGAGTTTAAAGCCAAAATCATTCAGTTTACGATTTGAACCTGGGCGCCGAGAATTGGAAGAAAACATTCTGTTGAAGCAGCCGTGATTTTTAAAGCTGTCTCATGAAATCGTTTGTTTGAATAAGCGTGAACAAAATGTCTTCATCGATAATTGCGGGAGTAAACGTTGAAAACATATCAAGACATCTGAATTGCAGTCTCTGTAAAAGGCTGATTCGAGGTCCGAAACTACTTCCCTGTTTACATTCATTTTGCCAGGTTTGTCTTCAAGATCTCGCCGAGAAACTCGCTCCAAATGAATCGCTGGTTTGTCCACTGTGCAAGACAGACGCGAGAATTTCAAGAGATGATATAGAAGCTTTGCCAGTTAATTCATTCTTGGATAACATGTTGGATATTGCATTGATAAATTCGAGCGACAGAGAACCCGTGCCGTGCACGAACTGCGACTCCGCGGCAAATTCTAGATGCGCTGACTGCGGGGAATTTCTTTGCGAAAAATGCTACAGCATTCACAGAAGGAGTCGGCAGACGAAAGAACACAAAGTTCTCACAATTGGCGAACTTCTTGAGAGCAAAACCGGCGAAGATCTTCACAGGCCGGCATTTTGCAACATCCATCGTAGTGAGCAATTGAGATACTACTGCGAGACATGCAACGAAGCAGTATGCAGAGACTGCGTTCTAATTGAACATCGCCAGCACAAATACGATTATGTGAAAGACTCAAAAAAGGTACAGAAACAGAGAACGGTTGTGGAGAACCTGTTCGCGCAATGTGCGGAAAATATCCCATTGCTGGAAAAGTCGATTAAACAGATTCAAGGCATTTCAGAAACCCTTCATGGGACGCTGGCCACGGTGAAAGCAGAAATTCGACAAACTGCTTTACAGCAGATAAAAGTTGTAAAGGACACAGAACGAAAACTTTTGACGGAAGTGGAGAAGATTCATAACGCGAAATCGACAATTTTGCGGCGGCAAAAGAACAAATTGGAAGAAGATTTCGCGAGGTTTAGCGCCGGTTGCGATTTTTCTGAGCAAGTATTAAAATACGCTAACGAGGTAGAGCTACTCTCGCTGAAGGTACACATCACTAAAAGACTAACAGACTTAAAAAACACTGAACTTGACTGCGAACCACACGAAAACGCTGAACTCAAATACGAAGTGAACAACAAGGAAGCTGAGGCCATGCTGGCGCATTCTNTGTAAAAGGCTGATTCGAGGTCCGAAACTACTTCCCTGTTTACATTCATTTTGCCAGGTTTGTCTTCAAGATCTCGCCGAGAAACTCGCTCCAAATGAATCGCTGGTTTGTCCACTGTGCAAGACAGACGCGAGAATTTCAAGAGATGATATAGAAGCTTTGCCAGTTAATTCATTCTTGGATAACATGTTGGATATTGCATTGATAAATTCGAGCGACAGAGAACCCGTGCCGTGCACGAACTGCGACTCCGCGGCAAATTCTAGATGCGCTGACTGCGGGGAATTTCTTTGCGAAAAATGCTACAGCATTCACAGAAGGAGTCGGCAGACGAAAGAACACAAAGTTCTCACAATTGGCGAACTTCTTGAGAGCAAAACCGGCGAAGATCTTCACAGGCCGGCATTTTGCAACATCCATCGTAGTGAGCAATTGAGATACTACTGCGAGACATGCAACGAAGCAGTATGCAGAGACTGCGTTCTAATTGAACATCGCCAGCACAAATACGATTATGTGAAAGACTCAAAAAAGGTACAGAAACAGAGAACGGTTGTGGAGAACCTGTTCGCGCAATGTGCGGAAAATATCCCATTGCTGGAAAAGTCGATTAAACAGATTCAAGGCATTTCAGAAACCCTTCATGGGACGCTGGCCACGGTGAAAGCAGAAATTCGACAAACTGCTTTACAGCAGATAAAAGTTGTAAAGGACACAGAACGAAAACTTTTGACGGAAGTGGAGAAGATTCATAACGCGAAATCGACAATTTTGCGGCGGCAAAAGAACAAATTGGAAGAAGATTTCGCGAGGTTTAGCGCCGGTTGCGATTTTTCTGAGCAAGTATTAAAATACGCTAACGAGGTAGAGCTACTCTCGCTGAAGGTACACATCACTAAAAGACTAACAGACTTAAAAAACACTGAACTTGACTGCGAACCACACGAAAACGCTGAACTCAAATACGAAGTGAACAACAAGGAAGCTGAGGCCTTGCTGGCGCATTCTTTAGGAAGTATAAAGACAAATGTCAGTCAACATCTACTGTTAGAAGATATTGAGGTTCCTTCAATGAATGAAAGCGCGAGCGAAACAGAACATGTTTTGAAAGAAGCTCCAAAACTTTCAGTGGAATTGCGAGACTCAAGCGGAGTTCTCCTTCCACCTGATATATTTCATCAAGGTAAATATTTCTCTTTTCTTATCTGCGTCGATATAATCTGATAAAAAAATTTATTCTTCCTCAATTAGTGTATTCTTTTGATGATAGTACTATATACTGACGTGCAATGCCGTTTCGTTTAAAGTTTTGTTTTGCAGTTCTCTACAATAAATTTGCGAATTTTCTCTGTCTCATTTAGAACAATCTTTTTCCTAAGCCATTTAATGTTTTAAAACATTTTCATGTTTGAGTTTTTCCGTCATTCTTAATATCCCCTTGTTCAAATACTCTAATGAAGGAATTCTTCCCTTTAATTACATGTTTTCCGGTGATCTCCGTTACCTTGTTTCTGTAAGTTGAGAAGTTAAACAAATGAGTATATTCGTCTTATTTATTTTAAGTTGACCTATAAATCATTGAATAGTTTGCTTATTAAACATGTATAGCTTGTGTACATCCCTGGGAGGGACTCCCATGTAAAAGTGACGAGGGTGCTCGTCGTCTCGATTAGGGGTCATAAATTGCAGATTTTGGTCTCACTTAGATAAGCGCGTTTGAGCCAGACCCACATTGGTCTCTTTCAGGGGTTTAATTTTAATTTTCCGACAAGCATCCCCGTCAATTTTATATATGGGAGTCCCCCGCCGGGATATGTAAACTTTGTTTCAGAATTAGACACTTGCTGGAATTAGGCTAACAACTCGTAGAACTTAATCATTTTCTGGAATAATTTGACTATTTAAAGGCTATTCAATCAGAAAATCTGGTTTAAGTGAATTTCTTTCAGCTTAATTTTTCTCTCTTTTCTCCAAGCCGACGGACAATCATTCTCAGCTTATCACCCTTTCTTCAATGGTGTCTTCTCATTTGCCGTCTTTTCGCGTGGACAAATTGTAGAAGGATTTCCTCTGGAGATAAACATCGGAGATGTCGCACCACGTGTACGAAGCGCAAAGAGAGCGATCGCGGGAAGTGGATCCAAGTTTGGAAGGCTAAGCGATCCACAGGGGGTAGCAGTGGATCAAGATGGCAACGTGATTGTTAGTGACTCGCGCAACCACCGGCTCCAGGTATGTGCGTTTTGGTCAGTCAGCACGCCACTTCAGTGTTAGCCAGTGGCATTAGATACCTTTGGATTCTAAGACGAGTACGACTACGAGTACTAGATTTCCTCAGTACTAAGTAGTGGTGAACCAACGTCATTTTGGCGGCAAAACAAGGTAGCCGTGGTCATTCTACTACGAGTTTTAGCGAGATGTAGAAGTGGCAGAAACAAGATATCAATTGTTAGAAGTTTAATCATTTTGCGATCGGGTGAGCGCGTAACTTCCTTCACTAAAGATAACAGTGCTAACATTTCTAGTGAAAAATGGGAAAATGAAGCTTTCCGAGAAGTTTATATTTTGAGAATACGCGAAAAAACGTCAAGTCAAATCTCGCACTTGTCCTTAGACTTGCTACAAGTCGACCTCTTGGCGAGCGAAGCGAGCCTTGTTTGGCCGCGAAGCGGCCGACCGCGAGCGACGAAGTCGCGAGAGGTCCGCGCCATATGAAATCCTACGAAGGACTTTTGGAAAGTCTAACTTGTCCTGGTCCCCAAATCTAAAGGTCTCTTATCACAGATGGGGGGAGACGTATATGACGGGTAATGCGTAGTAGTAACTGGACACTTTTCTGACCAAGAATAAAGTGTTAAACAGTTTTCAGCCAAGAAATGTTCCGAAAACATCCAGAAGAGGGCTGGGAATGGGTTTGCATATGCGGCCCTACAGATGTCTCTTCTTCATGTAATAAATAGTTGACGGAGTGGCGAAAATTCTGAGGCCTAAGAACTAGGCCACCGTAGACACTGTAGGAATGTGTTCGCTGCCGCCGCGCGATAGAACGGTTAGCGACTTGAAGTCATAACATTTCTGTTTGTGTGACAGGTGTTCGACATGGAGGGTAATTTCCGTTTCCGGTTTGGATCACCAGGAAGTGGAGATGGTCATTTCCAGTCTCCCAGTGGAGTGGCCGTCACCCCCGAAGGCAATATTGTCGTAGCAGACACAATGAATAACAGAATCCAGGTAAGTTTTGCTAAAACAAAATCTCTGTAAAATTCCATTTCTCTGCTGTGCTATGATTAAGGCATTTGGGTCGCTTGTTTGATCGCCTGCCCTTACGGGTGTTTAATATTTATTCACTTAGTAGCCGCTTANTTTGGTCAGTCAGCACGCCACTTCAGTGTTAGCCAGTGGCATTAGATACCTTTGGATTCTAAGACGAGTACGACTACGAGTACTAGATTTCCTCAGTACTAAGTAGTGGTGAACCAACGTCATTTTGGCGGCAAAACAAGGTAGCCGTGGTCATTCTACTACGAGTTTTAGCGAGATGTAGAAGTGGCAGAAACAAGATATCAATTGTTAGAAGTTTAATCATTTTGCGATCGGGTGAGCGCGTAACTTCCTTCACTAAAGATAACAGTGCTAACATTTCTAGTGAAAAATGGGAAAATGAAGCTTTCCGAGAAGTTTATATTTTGAGAATACGCGAAAAAACGTCAAGTCAAATCTCGCACTTGTCCTTAGACTTGCTACAAGTCGACCTCTTGGCGAGCGAAGCGAGCCTTGTTTGGCCGCGAAGCGGCCGACCGCGAGCGACGAAGTCGCGAGAGGTCCGCGCCATATGAAATCCTACGAAGGACTTTTGGAAAGTCTAACTTGTCCTGGTCCCCAAATCTAAAGGTCTCTTATCACAGATGGGGGGAGACGTATATGACGGGTAATGCGTAGTAGTAACTGGACACTTTTCTGACCAAGAATAAAGTGTTAAACAGTTTTCAGCCAAGAAATGTTCCGAAAACATCCAGAAGAGGGCTGGGAATGGGTTTGCATATGCGGCCCTACAGATGTCTCTTCTTCATGTAATAAATAGTTGACGGAGTGGCGAAAATTCTGAGGCCTAAGAACTAGGCCACCGTAGACACTGTAGGAATGTGTTCGCTGCCGCCGCGCGATAGAACGGTTAGCGACTTGAAGTCATAACATTTCTGTTTGTGTGACAGGTGTTCGACATGGAGGGTAATTTCCGTTTCCGGTTTGGATCACCAGGAAGTGGAGATGGTCATTTCCAGTCTCCCAGTGGAGTGGCCGTCACCCCCGAAGGCAATATTGTCGTAGCAGACACAATGAATAACAGAATCCAGGTAAGTTTTGCTAAAACAAAATCTCTGTAAAATTCCATTTCTCTGCTGTGCTATGATTAAGGCATTTGGGTCGCTTGTTTGATCGCCTGCCCTTACGGGTGTTTAATATTTATTCACTTAGTAGCCGCTTAAACAGTTCCACAAGTCATATTTTAGAGGGGCAAGTAGCTCTATCTGGGAAAGAAAATGACCGATAATTCATCCCTATGATCACTGGTTAACTCTTTCGGTAGGACACGTCAGCCTTGCCATCCCTTAGACAGACAAAAATGGGCATTAGTCTTTCAAGCAATTGATTACTCGAAGCGGAATGGGAAGCCATCCTGTGCACAGCTTTTTCTTGTTATTAGATTATTTTCATTTTTCTTCCCCTTTCCACTTTTACTACCTTATTTCACGGACATGAAATTTGAAACAAGTCACAAGCAACGTGATAAATACGTCTAAAACACCGTCATATTCGTTCGTCTCAACATAACTTTTATACGTGAATTCGACCTTTTTTTGCAGATTTTTTCTAAAGAAGGAACGTTCATCAAGAAATTCGGTAAGGGATTTATGCAAAGTGAACGCTTGTACCAACCATATGGCGTGGCCGTGGACAGCGAGGGGCGTCTTTTTGTTGTGGATCGAGGAAACGCGCGCGTGATCGTTTTCAACCAGGAGGGCGAGATAATATTAACATTTGGTTCCCTTGGTGGGGGTAAGGCTCAATTCAACTGCCCAACAGCTGTGGCGATCAACGGCAAAGGTCATGTAATTATCACTGACTTCGGCAACGATCGGGTTCAGGTCTTTAGCGCCAATGGTCAATTTCTTTTCAAGTTCGGCAAGAGCGGAAGGGGCGACGGAGAGCTCAATTGGCCGACCGGAGTAGCCACGGACTCTGACGATCACATCATCGTAAGTGACTCGTACAATCATCGGATTCAGATATTTAATGATGACGGTTCGTTTGTCACTCGGTTTGGAACTGAGGGCAATAAAAGAGGACAGTTTAAAAGACCGGAGGGTGTGGCTGTGACGACACAAGGAAACATAATAATTGCTGACTGGGGAAATGATAGAATACAAGTATTTTAAACTCATAACCGCGATGTTGTTGTTCAATAACCAGTTATGTAAATTGTAGTTAAAAACTGCATAATCTGTTTTCAGAATTGTGTTAAAAGAAAACGCTTCTGCCACTTACGGTGTTACCATGGGGAGGTTTTCAAGTGAAGCAAAACCAGGTTTGTTAAGTAAGAGCTGTGGCCAGTCATAGCTCATGAAATAGCTGTAGCCTTGCGATCAGTGCCTGGCTGGTGTAGAAAATTTGACAGGAGCAAGGTCCCAGTAAACTGAGATCCTTAGGGCCTGCCTCCATTCACAGGGTAAGCACAGGAGAGGCTGAAAGCAATGGATAACAAGTAAACGATTTAATGCAGTGCGCTAGCTTTACAGTAGGCCAGCAGAACGGGCCTCATTTTTTTGCGTTTTTTAGGCGAAAGGGGGCAAACGCAAGAATAGCGCGTAACATGAAATGTCCAAATAAAGAAATAATAAAAACAATAGTAACAAATTAAATAAATGAATAACGCCCGTTTAAAGCCCGACTAGCTTAATGTCGTTTAATCTAGGAAAAACGGAACTAACAGGTCTTTCAAGACTTTTAAAAAGTCAAGTGTAGCTTTGTTATTATAAGAGTTTCATGATCAACCTTTTACCGGTTATATGCTCTTGTAAATTAATAAACAAGATAAAAGAATTCAACATCTGTTTCAGGTTTTTCTCCTAAAAAATGCGTTACGGACTCTTGAATCTCCTGCTTGCCATGTCTCAGAAAGAGAGGAAACGCGGTATCCTGCAGCGAAGATTGCAATCACTGTTAGGCTTTCGTGGTTATGTGCTTTCCTTTTTTTCTATCTTGAGGGCGCGGAGAGACCGGTGGCAGACGCGATTAGACCAATTTCGATATATTAAAATTCATTCTTGTTTCCCAGGCTTTAGGGAATAAAACAAAAGAAATTATTGCTGAGCCTTAAGATGATTTCTCTTCTTCTATTCCCGCAAGCCTCGGAACCAAGTATGAATTTCAATACATCGAAATTGGTCTATTTCTCTTGATTCCGGTCAATGGTACACTCTCTCTCAATGCGGTGTTTCACGAGGTCCTTGCTTAGACCCGCTGTTATTTATGATCTATACCTGCAAGCTCTTTTGAGGTCTTGCGCTCGCATCTCGTCTTCTGCGCATGCCTAAGCTGATGACAGGCTGCCCTGGAGAATTGCATCCGAGATCAGTGTTCGTACATGGATGAGATAAGATGTGCTGTGATTTATTTAATTATTGTTTATTTATTTAATCGCTTTCACCATGGTTACAGTATTATGAAAAGACTAGGATTAAATATACATTTGGACAAAATTACGAGAAGGCGGGACGATGGTGAGGGACACACAACAGAGGGAGGCTCCAAATTAAGTGTGCCCTTAAGAAAACTTCCGAAATACTAACTATGTTAAATCGACAGGAATTGTAAATATTGTTTTGAATGAATTGTTTTTTTTCTTTTCTTTTTTCAAGCGAGTTAATTGTAAATAGGATTTTAATAGTTAGCATTGTTGTCATATTTTTAGTTTTTTAGTTTTTAATTTGCAAACAACACGATATAATTTAAAATTGTTACATTGAAAACATTCCAGAGTTCAGCAATACGGTTAAAGTAACTAAATTGACAGAGACTTTTGTTCTTAGGCCATCGTAGTTTGATCAAAAATAAAACACAAACAGCTGTGACCGCCTTAATCCCGTTAATCTCCTTAATAGCTCTCAAAGATCCAAAGTCATTCACAAAGCTTGTTGTTGGTATTGTAATGATTTTTACATTGGTAAAACTAAGCGACGGCTCCATGCTAGGAAGACTGAACACTTCAAGTCCCTGACAAAAACTGATCACTCCTCAGCTATTGCTGACCATGTCAGAGCCACGGACATAACATTAAGTGAGATCACTTTGAAATCTTAGCATCTGGCAAAACAGAAAAACAGATTATCACTGTAAGATAAAAGAAACATTATTTATAAAAGACCTTAAGCCAGCTTTTACTGTCAACAATCAGAAGTGAAAACCTGATGCTTATTAGCTCTTTAATTGCCTTTTGTATTCATTACTGTTAAGAATTTATTAATTTCTTAATCTCATTTCTAGACCCCTTGTAAATTTTTAAATATATAGTCTCGTCATTTTCTTTAACGGTCATTTAAGCAGTGATCACTTTTAAAAATGTAAGTTTATAAAACGTCAAGTTTATAAAAATGCGAAAGTTCACTTTGTCGCTCAGCCATTGGTCAAGCCAGTTGTTTGATTTACGCCCGCCTTCATCAACTGACCTTCCCTTCTGTTGCTAAATCAGCCTTACGGCGCGGACGGATTTTCTAAAGATCGGGCAGCCGTCAAGAGCTGGTTACCGGAGAATCAAGGTTGGTGAAGCTGCTGTTACAAATGTGTCACGTCCGCAAGGAAGTCTGGGGGCTTAGTTCAACTCTCACGCGAATTCATATCCAAGAACTTCGGCGGCGCTTTCTACTATCTCTATCACGTTCGTCGTACCAGAAAAAAGCCTCTCTCTACTCACAGTGAACAGCTCGCAGAAGGAAAACTTTACTTCTAGATAACAGTGAACTCAGTGTTGCTGGATTATTCTTGCCTGTTTATTTATTTTTTATTTATTTATTTTTTTCACGCACAATGCACTAAACTTCCGGAGAAGTTAAGAAAAATTAAGCTGCATGAAGACACAACTCATAGCTACGGAGGAGACTAACTAAGACAAATTATGAAAAATTAAGCTGCATGAAGACACAACTCATAGCTACGGAGGAGACTAACTAAGACAAGAACGTAATTCCATCGACTGGTTTACTAAAAAACTGTAATCTACATACAGCAGCACACTGGTCCACTGAAGTGAGTACGTCCCACCTCCTCTCACAGCCACAAGGGCTAAGAACGAAGGGCTGTTGAACGGGTGCTACTACAAGAACCAAGAGACAGCTATCGAGGAAATGGAGCCAAAGGCGACAGAGGAATCGTATCCCCCAGCCAATCTCGACCCAGAGCTCTTCTGCGCTTGTAGAGGAGAGAGATCAAGAGCACGCGCATTCCCGTAAGCACTGGGGTCGAGAATGATCTGCCGGCCTGGCCCGGGTTGCTCGAAGCATGGTTAGTGCTAACCAGCGTTAAATACCATGGAAACCTATACATTTTGATACCTCTTAACCAACGGTTAGCGCTTACCAGGCTTCGAGCAACCGGCCCCAGTACTTTACACACGCGCACAGTGGCACAGATACATATATAACATATGGAGTGTTTTCACTCACGTTGCCAGCATCTATGCAAATTTATCGGAACAAAAGAAAGCGTTTGCATAAGAAAAGAGTTCAACTCCCACAGGATTGGTTTGGGACATCAACATGGCCGCCGTTTCATTGTTTTGGGACACCAATGTGGCCACCGTGACGTCATGTGAAAACGCTCATAGCCGAATATAGCCACTTGCGAGTTCTAAAAACTCTCACTTTCAAAACGAGACTAAGCGCAAAACCTTTCTAGTGAAAATTAGTTTTATTTGCATGAGAATGAAAGATCATTTTCATAACAATGGCTTTGCACTAAGCCTTGCTTTGAAACAGAGGCGTGAGACAATTCGGAAATGGCTCGGTTAGGGCGCCTATCTCTCCCCAGTCGATTTCCTGTTTTCCCGGGTAGTTAAGGAACAAGCCTTCAAAACAGCAGTAGGTCATTCCCTTTTCTTAATTATTAGCAGTTTTATTTGCTGATGCATTTTATCTAACTCAGTACAGGCGGTCAAAGCTATTTACGAGGCGATCGACATTGCGCACTTAATGCTGACGCGCAGCTTGGGGTCCGCCGTTATGTATCAAAAACGGGCCGGGGTAAAGCGGGCGGTTTATCTTCCAATAAAGTAGCTTAAAAAGCAGTAGTTGCTATAGATAAGAGTATTACGGCGTTAAACGCATCCTTAATGTATGACATTCTTGTTTTTGTCCCTGAAAAAGGTAACCATATCCATGATCACACCGGTGCAAGAAGCTTATACCGAAGTGTTTTCAGTCTTGCGCGTTGTCTTGTGTTGTTTTAATACCTTGTATTTAGCTACCACATCACAGACTCTGAAGTCAAAACATGGAAGATGGAAAAGCTCTTTGAGTGCGCAACCCTTAGAAGTTATTAAAGCCGATGACTATTAGAAATAACTCGGTCGAAATCGCAATGTATTAAAAAATATTAAAAGCTAAAAAACAAATGAGAAAAAAATAATAACATAAGACAGAAGGAAAGGAAGGTTAATTGAGTAAGTTAAAAACGTAGGTACCAACGATTAAGCCGAAATGCAAATTTCCATATTTATAGAAGTTTTCTTTTTACTTGATTTTCATTTGGCAGCAGATGGATGATCTCGGTAAGCAGCTTTAATATATCAAGTTTTCGGTCCTATTAAATTCTATCAACTCTTCTTAGAGCTTATCTTTTCTTTATCTTATTTTAATGTATTTCGCTAAGAAGCCTGGATAAAAATAACTCGAGGCGTTATTATGAATTTTGTCAAGGAAAAAAATAGGCTTTTTTCCTTTTACCAGATTGAATATCAGGAAGGATGTACGTGAGGTTAATTATTCAGTCGACCCCTGACGTCATAAAATGAATAATTTACAAGGATTATAGAAGCAATATGGCGGTTGGGCGATCCATTCATTCTTATTTACACGGCGTGATCTGTCGATTTGGAACAACAATAATGAATCTATCTAGCTTCAGAGGTGATTGTTTTGTCTTCCAGTACACCCTTCAGAACGGGGCGACGCCTTGAAAACAAAGTTTACTCTAGGAAGACGAAAACATGGCTTCAGATGTTGAAAGGAATTGTTGTGGCGCGAACAATAACATAAATTTAAGTCCTCTGCCGCATGGCTTTCCCAGCGGAACGTCTACGATCACGGACTGTGAAGTTTTGATTGAGAGCGAGTTTTTAGAGCTAGATAACCAGCTTCATTATTCTAAGACAGTTCATATTTTATTGACGGACGAGTTTGTTTTTGTGAAAGAAATGCGCGACAGACGAGATTCTGAAGCGTATGTCCTGCAGCACGAGTCGGGGAAAACAGTTTCAAAATTTCGACGCTCCGACGTAGTAATCAAAGTTTGCGACGGCTGCGCTTTTACTTTTAAAGCTAAGTGGAGCAAAGAGACATCAGTATGGAAAACGTACGAGCTTTGCGGCAAAGATGAAGTATGGCCCAAGTGGTTGCGAAGTTTCAACGTGCAAGAAACTCAAGGGCTTCAGATGATTCCGTCTGATGCCATCTGCGAAATTGGCGACGACTCTGATTCCGATGACTATAGCGAAGACGATGATAGCGAAGATATTCAAATACCAGAGTACACTTTAACATTGGCTGTTGATCGAACTATCTCTACATGGTCTGTGTCATTGCTCAACCCGAGCAAAGTCCGTAGACTAGCTATTTCACAACACCATCACGCCGCTCTTCCTAGTCTTGCAAGCTCCTGTGGAAGCGATCTGGAGGATATATTTGACAGTTTTAATGCTGGATCCTTGTGTAGATCTAATTCACATCCTCGGCTATCTCTTGTGAAGCCGTTCCGATGTCCGTCGTTGCCAAATGTTGGTGAATTGGAGAACGTTCGCGTCGATGCCGATTTGAAGCCTGTGTCATGTAGAACTCGAGGGCATAATACTGGAGAGGATCCAAAACTGAGATTAAACGCATCAACTTTGTTTTCCCGTGAGGGAGAAAGAATTGATCAAAATACAGCCCTGGCAACCTTACAACAAAGGGTGGAGGATCTGCGGTCGCATCCAACAAACCTGAATTTTGTGAGAGGGGGTAAAAGGGATGAGGCTACTTGGGAGTCCATGACCACGCCCAAGCACCGACGTAAGCATTCTCTCCAACAGGCCATGGGCAATGAGGCTAACCGTATACCTATGCCATCAGATAAACGAAGCCCTGTTTTAAACAACAAAAAGGATTTATTTGACGAAAATAAAAGGTCTTCTGGTAAACATGAGATCAAAACACGTAATCGTTCACTTAGTCCTAAAAAATCTTCAGCAGGGAACTCAGACTCATTGCCAGTTTCTAAAAGACCTGATTTTGCAGGTGTTGTTCAATCTGTGCTAGAAAAAGAAAACAAGACAAGTACCGCAAGACAATTAGATTTCAAAGATGACATGGCGGTCACTATGGAGGACGGTGATCAGCCACCGCGGAAAGAAAAAATCAAGAGATTCTGGTCAGTGCTTTACAAGAAGCGACCAAAATTACGAATGCATGTAGCAGAATCTGATGATTCCTTGAAAGAAAATCAAACCAGTATTAGAAATACTGAAAGCAGTTCATCAAGGGTTACTGATTCTGATTCTCATATTGGTCCTGGAGGAGGCACTCGCCGTGGAGGACTGAGTGGCAGTTTTACTACACCAAATCATAAAGTGTCATACTTAGCATCAGCTAAAGAAGAAGGAATTACAACACAAACTCAAAACAAACAAGGTGGGTAAAGTAGTCTCTGCATGGTTATTTCCTAAATTCTCATTACAATACTGTCAACTCACTTTATCGTAGACACCCTCCAGACTGCAAGATAGTGTCCTTAACAGTGAGGAGTCTGTAATTACAGGAACTTATTTGAGAGAAGCATCTACAGGCGTTTAGCTACTCTATGTTTTATTGGGGTTTTCGTAAAAGTGAGCTGTGAAGTGTCCCAAAGACCATAGTTGGCAGTATGCGATTTCAGTTTGAGAATTTAAGGACTTAGTCATCTCAGTAACTGTAGCCGGAAACTACTTTTTCTATATGACTTGAAAGGAGGAGTGGTCACAAAGCAAAAACATTAAAAATAGTAAAGGCACTTACAAGCCATAGGGCCTATGATATGGCCTGAGTTTATTCCATTCTCTGTAGCATGAAGCACCTGCATGTAGTAGTATTACCTCTCTCCCTTGGACGGGATGCAAGGCCATGGCAGGGTTGCTCCTAGAAGCATGCCACCAGTACCTATTTGTACACCTGGGGGAGGGTAGGTCTTCAAAATGAGGAAACAATGGGACAGAATGGCGTGAATGCAGACATCCCAAACCAAAATGTTAGGCCTTGTGAGGGAGGGTTTGCTGTTGCTTTGTCTGTCATTTCTGAGACTGCCTGTCACCAAGTGAGTTAGGAAAAATGTCACTGTCGAATTTTAGCAAAATGTTGCTGTCGGTTCAGCATAAATTTTTGTGTTACACAATTTTGGAATTTACATTAGATATACTGGTAGTACCTAGAAAGAAATAACCTTTCTCCCTGGATGGATCATTCTTCAGTGATACCAACATTAGAAAACAATAAAGAAAATAACAGCAAATTCAAGAAAATATTTTGAAATAATTGAAGAGAGATTGTTATTTCGCTACCAAAACAGCCAAAATATAACAGACATCAGATGTCGCTTTCACTAAAATAGATTGACACTGTCAGAATTCTTTCCTCCTTTTCTGTTGATGGTTGGTTCTGTCTGAGAAGTTTGCTGCCAGTTTTCAGGGCCATGTCACCTGTCACCTCCACTCCAGCAGGAATCAACAGGACTGCAAGCAAGTTGCTTGCAAAAAAAAAAAAAATATTCAACAGTTGTAACAACTAGTGCCTGATGTACGTCCTAGTTAAACTCTATTTAAACACCAGACAACAGCAGTTCCATGGATGTCTGATATTACAGTTCATTTTAAGCAATTGTCCCAGATACCACTATGTTTTCTGGATTGAGCATTTTATCTTAACATTTTACAATGACTTTGTCTCCCTGGATCTGAAAGAATACTCCGGGTTTTTTTCATTTTGTGTGTGTCTGATTTAATGTTAGGTTATTTAATTTAGATATGTTGTCACTGGCTATTAAAAATAGTAGTAACATATTACAGCATATAGACTGCTGTTAGCAAAGAACCATGCAAGAGTTTTGCTTTCTGTTTAGCTAAAGAGTTTGAATTCGTAACTTTGTTATTACCCTATTGATTGCAGCTCATTAGAGCATATTTTATTTGTCAAAATGTATTTCTTTTACGAAACATTTCAGAACTTTTAATTTAGAAAGAAAGTACATGTAATAATGATATTGTTTATTAAACACAAGCTTGATGTTGGTATGAGTTAAACCATACAGAGGGACTTTTCTTAGTGAATTTTGATATGCAGTGTAAGGTTATATTTTGGTTTCTGAGGAAAGTGAAGTGTTGAGCTGAAAAAATTCCAGTGTATCAATAGAACGTATCTTGTAATTGTCTCTTGAATCATGGATGTAAAGAAAAGGAAACTGTTACAAGAAGTAAGTATTCTGTCTTTATTAGAGAAATCGGTATTTTTTAGTTATTTATTTATTCATTTTTGGCTTATTGCTTCTTATTAATCGCTTTACTGCTTTTGTATTGCTTCTTTGCTGGTTCATTGCCCCTCTATTGTTTCATTCATTTAGTTTGAATAATATTTTATTAATGCTGCCAGATTGCTGTTTTTCATGGGTGCACAAATGTAAAGACAAATGCAGCATTGTAGTATTTTGTTGTTGAATTTTTACCTCTTGTTTGATCTCTTGTTAGTGCATGCATTTTCTGACATTTTAATTTAAATGCAAAGTATAATGTTCATTTTTAATACTTTCTCTTCTAATAATGACCAAAGTAAAAAATTTACCAAAGAAATAAATTTCTTCTTTTTCTTCAAAAAAGTAAAAAAGTATTAATAGTACTATGCAGATGTTATGCTGAAGAGGTTTCATTTGAATGGTAAGGCCATTGGGATTTCATCTACAGACTTGAAAGTCAGATTGACTCATAATAATTATTCTTTCCTTACATCCTTTCCTTACATCAATGAAAATCAATGAAATAGTTGTGAGTTTTCACAACATGTCTTCCATTTGCCCTTGGCTCCTTTGTTCACACTCAGATTGTCGCTATTTTTCTCTAAGGTTGAGGCACATGTATTTAGATGCAGAGGGATGACATTGATAACCAAATCAACATTGGCAAATGGAAATCAACCAAATTATTTTTAAAAAAATTTATGACTATTGTAGGAGTGACGAGCTTTACTACGTGGTTTTACTAACATGATAAATCCTTACAGCTATAAAATTATATGGGGAATGTCAAGGCTTGCGTTAGGTACAACATATTGGGAAAAAATTACCCTCTCCTAATAAATATAAATAAAATAGCTTTCCTGTTTCTCTATTTTATCCACATAATCCACCAAGGAAATATATTCTGTATAGTATTTACAAGTTTGTTTAATCTTCTTCCCTGTGGTATGAGACAGTATTTTTGCCAGTCATTTGGGTTCTATGTACACGTATATTTGTTTTGGATCCCCCAACTGTATTAGTAGATTTTTCTGTTAACGAGGTAAATGTTCCATGTTTGGCTAGCTAGCTGTATGCAACAGTCAGTGTATACCTAACTTTCCTAAAAATAAATATTAGTTAGAATTAAACATTTACTTGATGAGATTGAGGTTAAGTTGTGTGAAACTTTGTAATAACAATATTTAACTTAGAAATTGGCCTATACACTGTCATTCAAGTCTTTTTCTCAGGAATTGTTAAGTTTTCTTGACACTCATGGCAAAAAACTTCCAAATTTTTTTGTTCTTAATGGTATGTGACTGCACGTGCGGTAATCATTTGGATTTGGGGTATGCTTTTTTGAGCTCCAAATCTTATCAGTAGATTATTTTATCAAGGAAAAAGCCGTATGCCATTAATAAATTATTTTATATTGAAATTTGTTAAAATTAACCGTTTAAGTGGTCACGTTAGCTTGCAGTTGTTTGAAACCATGCAATAATAATATATTTATTTCTCTTAAAATTGGCCTATATATTGTCTGTGGTCTTTTCCAAATATTTTTTTTTGTCTCAGGAATTGTCAAGATATGTTGAAGCTTAGGGCTAAAAAAGACTTCACTTATTAGGTTTTTTGTATTTAAGTATTCTAAGTGTTCCTGATCCTCAATTAGTGGTTAAGCCTAGATCAGGGAAGATGTTACATGCTGGCATTTTGTGGGCGATTCCCTGCAGACTGCGTGTTTAGGGTCACATTATGTAATGACATCATATCACCAGGAAGCCTTATTGAATGCCAATAATGTTCTCTCATGTGTGGTTGTAAGGGTCAGACAATACTGCCCTCTGTTCAGAAAAATAGACAGCACAAAATAATGTTGATTTTTGACGAGGGATATTTTGGAAAAATACTCAGTTGATTCTAACAGAACAAGTCTTGACTATATTATTGGCTAAAAATATGTTTTCATTTGCCTGTAATATTGATGTAAAGAAAGCAATACTAGACATGTTATGAAACAATGATGCACTTTGTAGGTGAAATCAATACTAGTAGATTCTAGCATTCCTGACAAGATTAAATGCCACATGTGTGAGGTCATCATCCGGATGTATGGTGTATAAACAAACTTAGTTAGTTGCCGGTTTCACTCTGTACCAAGCACAATTCAGCCCATTCTATTTCTTTTTCGTATGCTTCAACAAGCCACTTCTTTCAATATGGATTCTTAAGATAAGAGCTTTGCTGTCCAATGTTTGAAAGAGATATCTTTAGCTCGTTTTCCCTAAACAATATCAAGAGTCTTGGAGGCATTAGCATGTGGTCTGGGTCAAAGAAGAAATATGTCCTCAACCAGTCTTGTGTGGAGCTTTTCAGGGATCCAACTCTTTACCAAACTCCTTCCAAACACAAAGAGAATCCGTTTTGCTTTTCCATTCCTGCTTCTTACTTCAATTTTGATTTTGGAAAAGGTAAGGAATTTCTTTAATCAGTTTTTTCATTCAGAACAAAATTGTAATTTTACCGAGACAGAGCAAGACAATATGATTCCTTGGTATTGTTATTCCAAGGAAAAGTGGAATTTGGTCATTTTGTGTTGTTTCTTTATCAATGTGACATCTAATCCATGTTTTTCACTGTGTTTTCTATTTTTTCCTTGTTGTTTGTAACATAAATATTATGGTGTAGACAATTCATGTTTACAGTTGATGGAATTTGTATCAGAGGCTTGTACTTATCTCTTAGCATGGCATTCTCATAATTACCTCAATGTCGCATAGCTTGTCTAGAGTTACAATTTTTAGATCATGAATATTATAGTAATTCCTTGAACAGCAGACATCTTTGCTCGATAGTCTCTGGAAATTCTAGCCTTCTTCTTTAAAGTCTTTGTCAATGTTTTGTCACCTAGGAGTTATAAAGATATAGCAAAGGAAAATCAATATTATCCCTACTGACCTATTTTTGTAAATAGTGCTTTAGAAGTAATAAATTATTATCAAATTATTAATTCTACCTTAGAACTTTTATTAAACCTCATATCACAGTTCATACCTAGTTGCACTCCAAATTTAGGTTCATTTCTAATAACTTATTTCCATTGCCTTCTTTAGTTTAAGCTTAGTTTAAAAATCCACTGTACAAATAACAAGAAGAAAAATAATGAAAAAATAAATTAAAGTACAATATTATTGGTAAATGAAGGCAGTACGGAGAAACTGAATTCCCATAAAGAATCTTAATTTAACCGCTTAAATAATGTATTAACTATATCTTTGCTTGTTTTAAGGCATATGCAAATATTTCTGATGTTTTTTTTTTTTTTTCAGATATAACATCTGTTGACATCACTCCTGTTGGGAAGTCACATTTCTCTTACAGTGGTAAGTGAGGTTCATTTTGTCTTATGTAAGGTGAAGGAAGAAGATAATTACCTGTTCCTGCTACACAGACTAAATCCGCCTGTGAAAATCTTACTTTTTGTATCATTTTTGATCAAAATAAATAGATAAATTGTAAAAGAGCAGAAGTAAGATATCAGCATCAGTAATTACTAATAGATAAAGCTTGCCATGGAGTTTTAAAAACAAAGGAGTGGGAAAGTGTTGGATTCCAGCACTTAAAATCAAGAAGAAAATACCAAGTAGAAATTTTTGCTGCCATCTTATATTTTCTTCTTTAGCTTAATTCTAGCATTTTTTTTAGCGAATAGACATACCCAAAGATATAATAAGGTCTCACGTATCATTAATATTCATTTAAGGTTAGTTGCCTTGGCCTTGATAATTTGGTGTCATTAGCCATCTGATTATTCTGAAACTTTAAGTACATGATGGAGTTGAATCTGAAGTATCTGTAGCTTTTAGGTTAACTAAGGCTTTTAGAGCAAGATGCAATGTTCAAATTGCAACTTTGTCGTTGTTTTGTTTTTTTATTCTTTATCAATGCCCTTTTGGTGAAATGGATTTCAACTTGGTCAAAAATTTTTAAAAAATAGGGGTTGATTATTTATTCATAAGATCTAAGGCATCAGAAGGTACTAGCAATCATTATTTAATTCAGAATAATCTGCTATGTTAGCCAATTCATGCGACTTCGGTCGTGCAGAACTCCTTTGGTTTACCGTGCTGAATAAATTGTTTCTAGATGCTTCTCATGTAGAGAACTTAAAGTTTCTATTGTACTTCAAGTTTTGCCTAATTTCAGTGAGCTGCACAATAGTTTGTGCAAGCTGGATGAAATCCTGAAGTTTCACTGATACGATAGCCAAAGTAGCGCCAATAAGCAGCTGTATTTTTTCAAAAAATTTTGTTATGACCTTGGTAGTTATCATTATCTTTTATTATTATTTTCTAGTTTGAGTGATAGTTTTAAGCCTAAGGCGTAACAGCCCAGGTTAATTTTTTTGTATTATGTTTAGGGCCTTGAACTTTCTTCAGCTTAGACGTTTTTCGTTGCTGACAAAACAAAATACGTGACTTTTCTCCATTTTTGCGAAATATTTTTAACGAATGGTATCGTTTTCTTTTTTAAAAAAGCTGTATGGAATTTTCTGTGGTTATAGCCCAGCACCCCATATACGAATCAGTGATCCATCTCTAATTCTAATCTATGCGAGATAAAAGGCCTCTTTCCGCGCCATCTTTCTAGCAAATACTTCATAGATGCATATTTTTGTTATTCCTTCTTTCCAGGAAATAACCTTCACTGGGGCAAGAAAAGGGTATATTTTAGTTTCTCCACTTTTGTCTGAGTTTAAATGACAGTTTTGTGGAAAAAAAATTCACATGTTGCGTGACTTTTGATGGTGGCTGTTTTGTCTTGTGGTAAGATAAGGCAAAATGCCAGTTTGAGCCAACTTCCGCTCTCTCCGTTATGTTCGACCTTTCTTCTGTTCTCCCGTCAAATGGCGTCATTCGGTAAACAGGATTAAAAATCCTGTTGTTCGCCAACTAGTGATTCTCGTATCCCTTAGAAATATGAACAACTTCTGTTTTTTTTCGTGACGTAAGAATTTTCAAGATCGTTCTATACAGATGACAGCAGGCATCTTAACTATTGTTATTCGATTTCCTCCCTTTTGACTGACTTTTTGTCTCTCTTCCAAGTCTTAACAATAAAATTAATAGTTCATTGCACAGACCAGTACCGCTTGATCCAATAATGTCTACTGTTGTTTTGCTGCTTCATCCCGTAGTTGGACGACCTCGCAGTAAGTTTATTTATAAATCTCTACTTGCTATTTGGTCTTTTAACGTTTGTGGTCAGACATTTTGTCATTAAGTTATTCAAATCGAAAACTATTACCTTTCGGCGGCCGTAGAACTAATTGCTCTTGCCAAAAATTTTTTTAGTCGAATTGTTGTTCTGATCAGACGAGCCAAGTGGAGTTTTTTTTTATTTGGGAGAGACTTCCTTGTGTTATCATTCGCTTGGCATTTCAAACACGGTATTTTTCCCTCTCCCTATTTTCTTTCCGATTTACCGCAATTTCCTTCCTTTCCAGTTTACTCGAAATCTTTATCCTAGGCGAGTCACGTAGGAATCGAACTGTACAAGTACTGTTGTACAGCGTGGAATTTAGGCCCAGCTTGGTTGCTTAGAACAACTTAGACGATCCCTTGTGAAAAAACGTTCATATAGTGGAACCAGGATCACGCCTCTCTTGGTTATGTCAAAGAATCAACATCATTACACAACAGTAATGTTCAAAACCGTTCGTTTATTATCTCCTGAGACCTGTATCAAGCCGACCCGTTATTAAGCCTAAACCCTGTATCAAGTTACACTACGTCAATAAATCTCAACTTTTACTTCCAATATTTTTTGCAAAAGCGACTTGAATAAAGTGGACAAGACCTGCGCGACACTAGCGAGTGTACTGTGGACGTCCACTTGGTACATATTTCGCCGTGCGTTTTATTTATATGCTCATACTTAATCAAGGACAGACGTTTTGACCGACCGTCTTGCACAATATAGATGACGGCACAGTATTATCTGAGGAGTTGATTCATGCAATCGACAGTTATAACTTCTTTTCATGTACAGAGCGAAAAAAGAAGGTTCTAGGTATGATTTCACATGGAAAATATCCCAGCGTTCGGACGAAAAAGTGCCACTGCTCAGCTCTTCAATTAGTTTCTTTCTATTAATTGAAATTCTTCAGTCCGTTGGTGGTCTTTTTTCCACTAGCATTAATTGCTGGGGACGCAAGCGGCGGCCACAAGCAAGGCTTTTTTATAGAGCGTCTACACTAGCCTGCGAACCAAATTGTTGATCATGTTGATACCGCGGCATTGCCGGAAGCACTTAACTGGAGCTAAGCTAGGGCGTTTATCGCTTTTCCTTTGTAAATTAAAGCGATTCCGACTTCAAAACAATTTGATTATGCACGCACATTTATAAAAAGCGATTTTTAAAAACAAACAGCGACGCCGGCTGCTTGAGGCAGCACGCAAGAGATGCGAGTTTCTTACGATGTGTTTGTTAACGTTTGAATTCGTTTATCCCTCATTGTAGGAAGTATGAGAAAGAAAAGGCTAGTCAAGAAAATCCTATCGCCTATCTTTAAATCAAACTCCCAAGAAGAGGAATTTAGTAACCAGGTCACTAGTCCAGCAGGCGAGGCTCCTCAGACCCCTGAAGCCGTCGATGGCATCCTCCCAGATCTCTCTCCGCGACTGGTTGATATAGATGCATCACTGTTCGCGCGGGAAATCACGCTCATTGATAAGGAGCTTTTCATTAGGATTCCGTGGCCAGAGCTAGCGAACTGTGGCTGGATGACGAAAGACAAGGTAAAGTGCCTTTTCATACGAAAAACAAGTTCACACCTATGGGTGCTGGGGTCCGTTTCTCGAAAGTCCCGGTAACTTTTCGGGCCCGAATCAGAATCTGAAGAAGAAGAGTGCGGGTCCTAGCCAATAAACCAGTACTTTTTGTTGTGTTAATCGATCGTTTCAACATATTGCTTGCAAAGCTGTTGAAACCTTGATGTTGAATGTAAAGAGCAACAGCTTTTCTGGCCCACCAGTTATCGAGTCTCTAGAGAACGGGCCCCTGGACTCGAAATCCGTTCGAGTCCCGCACGGAATCTTGCAAGTAAGGAAAATCTATTTTCGCGCTCATTTCGCTAATTTGGCACAGGTAAAGTTCAACTTCTGAAACAGGCCTTCCTTTTGTTTACGAATAGTTTAAATTATGTTATTGACTTGTCTTCTTAAAAGTGTATTTAATGCGATTTTTGGATCCAATTTCAGTACGTCACCTCGCCAAACGTGATGGCGATGGTAGAGTTCTTCAACCGCGTGGCACTTTTAGCAGCTTCTGAAATTTTAGCCCAAGACACAACTTGCGGACGAGGGAGGGCGATTTCTAAAGTTATCCAGGTATTTATCTACAAGTTTATATAACCATGCTTCTTGGGAGACTCACTACGCTTTTTTTCCTTGTTGCTCGCGCTATTTCCACCTGCGCTTCACTACTAATCGCTTAGAACAGGCTTGTAATAACACTGTAATCTGATAAATATTGTCCAAATCCAATTTTGCCACCGGCAACACTTTTTCCGCCTTTAATCATAACTATAAAAAAATTCTTAAATCTGATTGGCTATTAACTCTTCTGATTTCAGCACTAATAGGACAGTGTAATAGGACAGTACGCGTCAGGCCCACGTAATAGGCCATTTCCGAGTTCCCCGGGCCTTTGTATCAAAGTGAGGTTAAGTGCTCCGCCCTTGATATGAAAAATAATTTTCATTCTCATGCAAATAAACCTCATTTTCACAAGAAAGGTTGTGCGCTTGGCTTTATTTTGAAAGTGAGGGTTTTTGGAACTCGGAAGTGGCCTATTGGACAATACGCGCTATTCTGCACGAGCTTTTGAATGGCTTTTTATTTGTTCTTATAGCAAAAAAACTCTAGGAAGATCCTGTGTTTCAATTTTGGAAAAGCTTAAGACATCACAAATTTTGTTTTAGTGTCGTCTAATTCTGTCTGATATCATACCCGTGATTAAACGAAACGGATTCCCCCTTACGCGGTCGTCCGATTTTGTTAATCACTGGTATGATTACAGACCGAACTGAATTCCGCTCAGTCCTATGACCATTATTAATTAAACCCGGTTTTGCAGCTTTTCTGCGCTTTTCCTTTCACATTATCTCTCGTCCATTGTAACCGATTTTTACTGTTTGTTTGTTCTTCTTGTTGTTGTTCCTTATTTTATAAAGCGTGTGTATTTTCAGCTATAAAGATCCTGTTTGACTGAAGTCGCGAATATCTTAAGAAACTAATGATTTACGTTGTTTCAACCCCATTTTGTTTCTAGATCGCCGAAAAGTGTCATCTTTTAGGAAACTTCAATTCATTAAAAGCTTTGTTGGCTGGTCTCCAGTCTACGCCGGTCTACAGATTAAGAGAGACTTGGAAAGAAGTACCTTCAAAAAGAAAAAAGTAAGCCACCCTTCCCATTGGATAGTTAACTATTTTTTAGGCTGGTGGGGAGGGAGGTCTTTGTAACGGTAATGTTTTAACGTACCGAAAAGTTCCGAAAGTGACAACCCTTGGGAAAAAACGAACCCCCCCGGGGGGGATAATAGCGACCCAAGAATTGACTCTTCCCTTTTTTGTCAATACTCAGAAAGAGAGAACTCAAAGATCAACTGAAATACTCATCACAGACAGATAATTGTAAATGGCTTTAACTCAAAGAAAATGAACGTCAGTGGCTTGATCTAAATACTTGTTTTGCTTGAAAATTCATTTTGTGTTTTAAAATTGTCGTTCTTAGGTCTTTAAGTTATCCGTTATCGGTTATTCTTTGTTACTCAGAGTTTCAACATTCATAAAGCGAAATTTCACGGAGGACATTTGTGCTGACGTTATTTTGATTATGTCTTAAAAGTTACCATTTCCCTGAAAATAACCAACCCTCAAAAGTAACCCCATGCCCCATCCCCTCTGCCGAAGGTAGCGATTCTTGTTGTTGTTATTGTTGTTTTGGAGCTCTTGTTGTGGCAAATAGCATATTTATTGTTATTTCCTTGCCTTTCTTAGGAAATTTCGTGACCTGTCCATTCTCATGGGAGAAAGCGAAAATTTTTCCTTATACCGCTCAGAACTGTCCAGCTGTTTAGGGAATGGTGCGTGTTTGCCATTCCTTGGGAATTTCCTGACTGAAATTGCACAGACAAACACTTATCTGGCTTACAGAAAGAAAAGAACGTTGGCGAGAGGAAAACAGTCTCCTCATATACAGAGGAACTCTGTGAAGATCGACCGCACTGATGGAGCTATGATAAATGGGGAAACTCCGAGACGGAATGGAGTGACTGCACACAGAAGCGACGAAGACACGTCTCCGCGTAGCACGAGTGAGAAAGGAAATGTAACGTCAGAATCGAGAGATAAGCGTCACGCAAAAGTTAAGCGGACGCCGTCACGCAGCAAACTATTCAAATTTCGACAAAGCATCAGTGACAGTGGTGTTATGTTAAATCGCAGTAGGAACAATAGTGCTGAAGTTTTGGATATTCCTGATGGTAACTTACAAAACGGACTTAATGCGAGTACTGATTCAGTCATCACCAGTACAAACTCCCTTAACGAGAACTCGAGCCCTCGTAACGTTACCAGTGGTAACTGCAGCGTGCGCACGCCCAGTAGACCTTCACTATTTAGGAGGTTATCAGAAACATCACCTCCTAAACAGAACGGATCACCTTTATCACTCAAAACACCGAAGAGGAGATTGTCAGAGACTAAAACAGGAGAAACACGGCGCTCGTTTCTCAAGGGACTTGTCCGAAGGACTCCTAGCAGTCAGTCTGTGAAAGAAGGTCGAGTATCGCGAGGACCATCTTCGGAAAAGCTTACAATGAGTCTCAGCACTCTTTCGGTGCAGACCGAGACCTCGAACAGTATGAAAGCGTTCGCGGATAGACTCGCCAAATCTCAAAGTAGTCCATCTGTCAAAGAAGATGTCCTAGGCGGGAGACTCAGCCCTGACTCTCTCAATAGATCACCTGAGGTCAACGTCAAACGCTCGTCTAGTCAGAACTCATTGGTGGAGGATTCGCCAAATGCTAGTAATTACGATATACAATCAGGTTAGTTATCAAACAGAATTGTTATCTTCATAAATAGGGACTGCCATTGGTTGATTCTTGGTCACGTGGCCTTGACTAAATTCAAATGTATCCCGATAGTAATACAACAGCACGTGATCGAAGCATGGTAAAAAGTGGCGTGAGAGAACACTGCCAGTTTTCACTTTCGTTATGAACACAACAAGACAAATATGCAGGAGCCTCAAGCTTAAAAGCAACGATTTTCGAAGTTGTCCAAGAAGAGAAGCAGCAGGTCGAAAAAGAATCACCGACATTTTTTTCAGTCATTCACTCTTTACTCTTTGTCACGGTTTAAGTTAAAGTCTAGGAATATAACAAAACCCTTCCGTCTCGGGAAACATTAAGACTCTCGAGAGTACAAGACTGTTTCTTAGCTAACCAATCAAATTACGTTTGTGTTTTCTCGACCAATCAGATGCGCTTTCTCGCTTGCGTCTACCCAAATGCTTTCCCGCGTTTCTGACTCCACCTCTTTCTCTTTCGCTTTTCACAAGCTAAGTGTTGTGTCAGCGCATGTTTTTCTTTTTGGGAAAAATTTCGGAAAGGCTGAGCACCAACTTTTGGCTCTGAGGTTTCTGTGGCTCTATTTGGTTACTAATAAAAGCGCTACTTGGTTAATGGTTACCTATCAAAACTTACTCTCATTACACCAAGTATGTCAGAAACTCTTATACTCAAATCTGGCTCCCAGTCTCCTTGAAGTCTCTGGAGGGAGGAATATCTTATTAGAGAGCTTTAGATTCTAAGACTAGGTCGACGACGAGGACGAAATTCTCTCAACACTAAGTAGCGCGCGCTCGTGGACCAGCGTTATTTTGGCGGGAAAACGTGATAGCCGTTGTCATTCTGCTACGAGCTTTAGCGAGAATTACGTAGTAGCGGAAGCCAGTTATCAAATTTTAGAAGTTTTATCATTTTGCGATCGGGAGAGGGCTAAACCTCCCTTAATAAACCGTTAACTTTTCTGGTGGAAAAAAGTTTAAATGATACTTTCCGGGGTGTCTCTTTCTCGAGAAAACGCGAAAAAACGTTTTAGTTAAATCTCGTTGTCGCAGTCGTACTCGTCCTTGAATCTAAAGGTCTCTATCGCCATCACTCCTGATTTTCATTTCAAATCTTTTTTAACGATCCTTGCTTGTTGTTATTTCAGGGACAGAGAAACAGTTGTGGGCGTACCAGATTGCATCTATCCAATATGACTTTGTAAGCCGACCCTTTGTGCGACACTTCCTTCTAAACGCTTCTTTTAATTCCGAAGAAGATAACTACAGACTGTCACTGAAACGAGAATCCCCGACCAGAAAGAGTGACAGCTGACTAATTCGTACGACGGGCTGGAGCAAGTATCAGCTGAACCCTTCCATGCATGTTTTGCTTCTGGAAGACTTCGCTACCTCAGCTCTTCTCATTGCAATAAATCTAAATCTTCTTTCTCCTTTCCCTTGGTTCATGGAAAAAGTAGTTTGTGGTTAAACAATATAATAGTTTGATGGTCCATAAAAAAATACTCTCATATGGTATTGTAGGTTTTTGAGTTTAATTTTTGCATTCCCCTACTCGCGAGAAAAAGATCCAAACGAAAAATTCATCACAAAATTATGTCTTCTAAAATTGAGATTTTATAGGTGATGACATAATTTGACATTGCGAACTGCAAATGTAACCATCCTCGAGACCCAGTAGAATGGTAAAATTTACAAAGGTGTATATATTACGTCTTTTTCTTGGTAAACGCCGCTAGTAATCGAAACTGAACTGAACAGAAATCTCAGACATTTGTTTTCGTGTCCATGGAGACTATACATTCGACTTTAGTAAGGTTATTTATTTTAAAATAATTTATAACGTTAAAACAAAGATATTTTAATTTAATTGGATGGTATTTTTACATTGAATGTATCGCGAACGGATCCTTTGGATTTGCGCATATCACTCTCTTTATTCGTCTATTTTAATTCAAGTCCTCGTGCCTTCTCTCCATACAACGCTTATGTTGTGTTTTTAAGAAATTGTAAATAATCACATAGATCAAATTATCTTAATGCTACCACCCAAAAGAATAAAGTCATTAAACGATGATGTTAAGACCAGCGTTGATGGCGTTAGGTACCCTCTATCTTTACAGGTGACAGGAGGTGCAATCTCTTGTCCAGGGGCCAGTTGCATAAACAACGTCAGGCGTAGCAGTCTAGCCTGTTCCATGCGCCAAGATAGTGAGGAAAGCTGATCGAAAGTTGAGGGAAAAGCACGTGGGAGCTGGGGAGAGACAGGATAGTGAGTGTGTAAGCATTGTTTTCAATACCTCATTCCGGTATACCAGCTCTGGGAGTACCCTATAACCCTATAATTGGTCAATTTTGATGTTTTACGCTAACACTGACGTCAATCACTTGGCTTCGCGCGTAGAGTCAAACGTTTGAAACCCTCCTGCACCGCACATTTTGACACGAGAGACAGTCTTCTGGAAGTTGGCAGACTGAGGTATTTAAAAAGATCCTAGCAGGCTCTCTCCTTTTCTCCTTCCGCAGTTTTTCGCTCGTTTGCTTTTTCGCTGCTCACCCGTTTTTTTCGCTCGCCTAGCCGAGAAGGGAACTGGAGAGACTTACCCCTCTCCGACTCGTTTGCCTCGTTCTCTGGCACATAGCATGCCCGCGCGCGCCCTGCCAGCAGACTAAACGTCTGGGGCCCGACGTCTGGCGTTAATGAAACAAGTCGGAATGGCAAGTCGTCAGACTTGATGTACACTCTAGTCATCCCGTAAATAGTTTCTCCACCCGTGTTGTTGGGGGGAGTAAGCCTGCATGCAGAAGTCTCCTATTTTCCTTGTTACTCGCTGAAAAGGGAAGTCAGTGTATAAGACCTGGTTTCCCAAAATTTTGGGAAAGGGCTGCGATTGGTTGTCTCACAGTGGGCATTGTTTAAATAGATCAGTTGCTTTCCTGGAGCATCGAAGGAAATAGCGTTTTTTTCTCACGTGACCGGCATATCGGCACAAAAGAAAGAATTTACATGCATAAGAAATTAAAAGAGTTCAACTCCCACAGGATTGGTTTGGAACACTAACATGGCCTCCGTTTCATTGCTTTGGAATACCAATATGGCCGCGGTGACTTCTTGTCAAATTGTCCGGTACTAACGCCCTACAGGAGACGATTGGTGGTATAACTGGAAAACATTCTGGACCACAGTAGACTGCAAAACAGTCGGTAAAGAAATCGGTAAAGCGTGGTGTAAGAGTTTTACGCGCGCGAAGGGCGCGAGCCTTAACGCGTCTCTCCTCAGTCTCGCTCTCCGTTTTCAGCCTCGTTCCAGACCTTTTGTTTGACCCCTCGCACGTACTTAAAAAATACGGATTGTTTTGCTGTCTACGCCCACAGAGCCACACGGCTTTATTTGCAACGACGAGAATGGTAGCCTGCAAATATGGCTCTAGCGATGGAGAGCGAGGAGAGACGGCTGTATTCGCAGGCTACGAGAATGCACAGGAAAAAATAACAGATTCCCATTTTTGGATATTTTAGGGTATTTAAAGAATACCCATAAATCTTAGGCTTGTCGTTATTTACGAGCTCCACCTACTCCTGGAATGGATTCACGGTCAGAATGTTTTTGGAGGAGTTTAGTTCTTTTCTGGAGGGACTTGTTTCGACTACTAGTGCCCTGTTAGTCGCTGGCGACTTTAATTTTCATATTGACGAGCCTAATGATTGCGATGCTCGACGATTCTTACAAGTCCTGGAATCGTTTGATTTGATCCAGCACGTCTCTGAAGCGACTCATAAGAAAGGTCACATACTCGATTTGATTATAACAAGAGCTCATGAGAAATTAGTTGGCCGCTGTACTGTGGACAATCATCTTGCTGTACACAGTTTGTTGGACCTTGCTAAATTACCACTCGAGCGTAAACGAATCTCATATCGCAAAATTCGTGATATTGATTTTAGCGAGTTTTGTGGTCAGTTGGAGAACACCAGGCTAGTAAGGGATGCGGCTTCTTTTAGTCTCGGTGAACTTGTTTATGAGTATAACACTACATTAAAGTCGTTGTTAGACAGACACGCGCCTCTGAAGACTAAGACCATTACTCTTCGCCCAACCGCCCTATGGTACACTGAGGAAATACGATCTGAAAAGAGAAAACGCAGAGCTCTCGAGCGGCGCTGGCGTTCTTCAAAACGAGAATCGGATTATTCTAGATTTAAGGAACAATGCCTTAGAGTGAACGCTTTGATCAAGAAAACGAAAGTTGACTATTACTCAGGCATTATACGGGAGAGTAGTAATAATCCCCGAACTCTTTTCAATACGGTAAATAAGCTCCTACATAAGCGCGTGCCCGCGGAGTATCCTTCAGGGTGTGCGTCTGATGGTGATCTTGCTAACAAGTTCATTGACTTCTTTGGTGAGAAGATTACAGTTCTGCGAAACTCACTTGACTCCACATCTGATATTGTTGTGGAGTCCGATGCCATTGTCCATCAGTGTGCCTTGTCATGTTTTAAGTCTGTAACATTGTCTGATGTCTCGGAATTACTTAGTAAGATGACCATCAAGTCCTGTCCTCTTGATCCCGTCCCTGCTTCTGTTTTGAAGCAGTGCACATCAGTTCTTTTGCCTGTTATGACTCAAATTGTAAATCAGTCTTTATGTCTAGCTGTTTTTCCAGACTGTTTTAAGCTTGCATTGTTGAATCCTCTTCTCAAAAAGCCCACACTTGATGTTGAAGTTTTTTCGAATTTTCGTCCTATTTCAAATTTGATGTTCATGTCTAAACTTACTGAGAAGGTGGTGGCATCTCAGTTGATTAATCACATTTCTAGTAATGGACTTGATGAAATACTACAATCTGCATATAAACAATTTCATAGTACCGAAACAGCTTTAGTCAAAGTTTTTAATGATATTATCCTAGACGTTGATAGGAATAGGACTGTTATCTTACTTTTATTAGATCTATCGGCCGCTTTCGATACGGTTGATCACACTATACTGATTAAGAGATTAGCAAACCGCTTCGGTCTTTGCGATCTAGCTCTGGCCTGGTTTAAATCATACCTGAGCGACAGAACTCATTTTGTGAGCATTCGTGGTGCGCGGTCTGTCACGCGTTCGCTGTCGTGCGGAGTACCACAGGGCCCCATGCTTGGACCGATTTTATATCTGCTCTATACCTCCCCATTGGGGGATATTGTCAGACAATATACAACATGGGCTATCATTTCAACGCTGATGATACTCAGTTGTATCTGTCTTTCAATTCTCTCAGTGGGGATGATCAAGCTTATTCTGTCTCTCAGGTTGAATCTTGTGTTAGAGATATCGACCGTTGGATGTCTTGTAACAAACTTAAGTTGAATAGGGACAAGACGGAACTGCTCGTTTTCAGTTCAAAATATCGGCCACGCCCATCTTTAGATAGTATCCTGGTTGGTGATCATCGTGTAGAGCGGTCTGACAAAGCTAGGAACATAGGAGTTGTTTTTGATGAGACCTTGTCACTGGATAAGCGTGTGAGTTCCGTTTGTAAATCTGCTTTATTTCATCTTCGGAATATCGCGAAGATTAGAATGTATCTGGGACTGAGAGCACAAAGACCCTCGTCCATGCTTATGTTACTTGTCGACTGGACAATAGTAACTCGTTGCTCCTCGGGTCACCGGAGTATATTATTCAGAAGCTCCAGCGCGTTCAAAACTGCGCTGCACGCCTTGTAGCTGGGCAACCTAGGGCTGCGCACATTCGCCCCGTCCTTAAGAAGCTAAACTGGTTACCTGTGGAGCAGCGAATTACCTTTAAAGTATTACTGTTAACTTTTAAAGCTCTCAATACTCTGGCGCCTCCGTATTTAAGTCAACTTATAGTCCCATATAACCCTACAAGAAATCTTAGGTCAGCTGGCAAACATTTATTAGAAGTACCGAATGTGCGCCTGAAGAGCTATGGGGACAGGGCCTTTTCGGTCGCTGCCCCAAAGCACTGGAATGATATTCCCTTAGACATTAAATTAAGTGGATCAGTTGATGTTTTTAAATCTAGATTGAAAACTTATCTTTTTAGACTCGCTTTCAATTGACTTTTTGTTTTAGTGCTATTGTTAGTTAGTTTTTTTTTTTTTCATTGTAAAGCGATATAGAGCTTTTGTATATACCGCTATACAAATAAAGTTATTATTATTATTATTATTATTATTATTATTATTATTATTATTATTATTATAATAAAAATCCCAAATTTGGCAAAGTGAGACGAGTCCCAACCAGGGAATTCCCAACCAAGTTCCCTGATTGGGACTTGTGTCACTCTTCCAAATTTGGGATTTTTGTGGGTATTCTTTAAATACCCTAAAATATCCAAAAATGGGAATCTGTTATTTTTTGCTGTGATGGGGTATGATAGCAATTGCGCCACATGAAATTGCCGCGAATCTTAATTTGGCTTTTCCCCCATTTTATCAACCAACTCAAGTTCTAACTACGGAGACCAAATAACGTTTTCTAGGGCGTCCTGGTGCATTTAACGCGAGTAAGCTGAACTGTTCTCACTTAAATTGCGAAAGCGTGACGATGGGCGTGACATTCATTCTGAGGCGGCCGCGTCTGCAATCGGCACGTGATTTTGTGAGTCACGCAATGGCCCGGCGGAAGTAACTTCACCTCAAAAGAAAAACCAAGCAAAGAAAGAAGGAGGTCAAAAAGAGCAGCAACGTTTACAAATGGGCCTGTGCGTCTCTGGAGAAAAGGCTGATTATGAAGGTATAGCGCGTTACGACGGACAAACGTGTCTTGGTGTCAGACACGGAGAAGGAACGTATCTCTATCAAAATGGCGACATGTATAAAGGACAATGGAAATGGAACCAAAAACACGGGCATGGTGTTTATACGCATAAAAACGGAGAAGTGTGAGTTTATTTTACGTTCATTGCTGTTTAATGACTAGTTTTGTCGATGAAAACGGCTCAGTGTCGTGTTTTCATTGTGTTATTTACCTGAGAATAAAGATATGTAGCGCGCAAATAAACGTATTATTCCTGGGGTATTATTCAGATTGTTACAAGATCAGTTTTGGATATCTCCTTTTATATCTCCGCGTTTGCTGTTTCTGAAAGATGCCACGTAATTATTATTTTAATTGTAGTGATTTCGAAATACGAAGAATGTGAAAAAAATCATCCTCTATTTCGACCAAAGAAACCGCGGTAAATTTGTACAGGCCCATCTCTCATTTTTGTATGGCTGTTTTAAAACTGAGACGGAAAATGTATTTTGCGGTTTGGTATTTTAATGCTCCGGTATGTTTTATTATGTTTGTTTTCCATGTGGGCATCAGTTCTATTTTAGACAAAGCAAAGATCACGTTCAAACCCGTGATAACCAGGGGATTGCCACATACATATTCACCATTTCTGTATCATTTGTATTTACATTTCTCTTAACTTCCCGTCATTAAGGCGCTGTGTCCCTGTGTTATTTCATGTTTGTTGTTGTCGCATTACGGGAAAACTCAGGGTGTTGTCAGAATAATTAAGAAGAACAAGGAAAAACTCCCATGCTAATTTGATAAATTGAGAAAATGTAGAGCGGAAGTTGTTCTGATCTTGCGTGACAACAATCCTTGATAAGTATTGAACAGATGAGGCCTGATTTCTTTTTCTTGCCAGCCCTCTCCAGTCAGTTACTCTGATTTTATATCATACTTCAAAGTACCTAAATCTTTCCAATACTTTTTCTGTCAGTAATTCATACTTGACAAAGAAACACAAGAGTGTCATTTCAGCGTTCCGCTTACTGTTACCGCAGTTCGTCTTCCCGGTCTTCCCAGAAAAACCCTAGGGGCACTCAACAACGGACTTATGGATTGAGGTGTACTGCCGAAGGCCTAAAACCCTGACCCTGTTTGAGACAAAAATCGTTCACTTCGGGACCCTGTTTAAAACAAGAGACCTCATGTGATGACCATTATTCATTTGGTATAGACTGTTTCTTATACTAACGTTATGGGGGAATTGTTGGTATCACAAATTTAATTTGACCGCTCGTCGCCAACCCTTCTCACCCATTTAAAGGTTTCCGGTCCACAGGGATACCCTGCTCAAGACACTAAATGGTGAAAATGTATGGCCAAGACCCCGAAAAACAGTACCCTGTTCAGCCGCACGTATCCATTTAGGCCAAGTAAGGCTGTGCCCCCCTCCCCCCTCGGGCTCGGGGGGTAGAAGGACCGGTAGGAAGTCAGCAAGAAGTTCACATGACTGACTGCAACAGGTGCTTAAAAAACGGGAGGCAAATGTGAGGGATCTCCTCTTAGAAGGGTGTGGAATCGCGTCTCCTCCTCACTGACGATCTGCATAAAGAGTTCCCGCAAACTTTCTCCTCTCAAGTAGAAAACTAGTGTAAATAAGAGACTACAAGGCCAGGGATAAGTGCATTTTGACAGAGCAATCAGATGTACAATAATTTTATAGAGTGATACTGGTTAACGTGTTTTTCCCCTCTGGATATGTTGTTTCACTTATCAGTGCATTTCTAGAGCATGCAGCTCTAACAAAACGCCGGTTTCTTATTAACATTGCATGATCTAGGACTGCATCAGCCTCCTCCTTAGGCGCTTCGTTTTGCGCATGGCAGAGGCGAGCGCGAAACGCGAGTGACTGGTGATGAACCGCAAGGGACCATTCCCGCCTTCCTTTGCGCGCACATCGAAGAGAGACGTCTGGGTACGAGGCAGGGACTGCATGTTGCAATTCCAGTTAAACGCAATTTCCTTTCCCAGCAAGACAAACCAGTCTTTAACAACCGCAAAAGTTAGTTCTCGCAAAATACTAAAAGTACCGATCCGCACCCGGATCTACCTCCCCTTGTTTGTTCCTTTGTTACATTCCTACTATTGAACCTAAAGTTATGATAGAAGCCTTTATTTAAAATAAAGGCGTCGAACCTATTGTTATGTAACCATGCATCGTAAGTTTCTTTAGTTCGTTTGGATCCAGCAGAACCCTAGCTAGGCCCAATTCCCTTCCCTGGAAGGGAGTACCGCGGACGCATCGAGACGACTGAGAACATCAATGATTGATAAAAATAGCGTCTCACGGACTAAGAAAGAAGACAGACTGTTCGAGTAGTCTATCGATGTTGTAATAAAAAGTGTAAGTAGTTTGGTTATGTGAGGTATCCGTTTAGTCTAATAACTTGCATAAACTAAAGAATAAAACAGGTCTTCGTTATTTTTTCTTTCACCTGACACAGAGAACAAGGTTTTTTCTATCGCGATGAATACATAGGAAGAGAATCTGGCAACTTATTCGCCGCCTCGACGTGTTGTTGTTTAGGAGGGGTCTCGTCCGCTCAACCACTCATGAGTGAGGAAGAGAAAAGGTATGCCCATTCATTGAAGTCTTAATTCACTTTTTCATCTTCTTTTCATCCACCTGTTCTTCCGAAAGTCCATTCCTTCGTTTGTTCGTTCGTCCGTTCAATCGTCCAGTCCTTTTATTCACTGATTAAGTGAATGAGTGAGTGAGTNAGTGAGGAAGAGAAAAGGTATGCCCATTCATTGAAGTCTTAATTCACTTTTTCATCTTCTTTTCATCCACCTGTTCTTCCGAAAGTCCATTCCTTCGTTTGTTCGTTCGTCCGTTCAATCGTCCAGTCCTTTTATTCACTGATTAAGTGAATGAGTGAGTGAGTGGATGTTTGAATTCTTCATTCATTTATTCATTTGTTCCGTTCTTCATTTTCTCACTCACTTGTTCATTATGATTCTTCCCCATTTTGGGCTGGCACGAAAAATAGAGGTCGCTCGCGCTGTCCGTGATTAGAGGAGAAGGGATGGGTGGGTGGGTGGGGGTTAAGGAGTTCGGGGGTGATGGAGCGTAAGAAATTGGTCACATCCCCAGGAACAGCAAAAAATGAAGAAACGAAGCAGCATCTTCTTTATCTTCCTGTGATTTTCTACCGCGTCAATGATTCTATAAGATGTGAGACATTGTTGTTATTAATATATAAGTATAGGATAGGTCGATTCCACTAAAACATTTTTAAAACTAAGTGGTCATTTGCCAAATGTATTAACAATTACTTTGCTGTTTAGGAATCAGGAAAGAATGGAGGCTGAGAGACAAAGAGCGGAAGAACGTGAAAGGAGACGGGAGGAAAGACAGCAACGTAGAGATGAATTACGGCAGAAATATAACCTCTAACAAAGGATGAACACATAGCAATGAACATAGCTAATGGATCAGATTGAACTTATAAAACGAGCTCTTGGCGTCGTCCTTTGTGATGACAAAAGCGAAGTCTAATGTTGACATGTTTTGGACGGTTGAATGCTTGTCTAAAGAGGATCTGATCTCAAGAACCAACCACACAAACACGTGATGAACAAAACAGCGATTATTATATTATGATGGAATGAGATCGTCAAAGGTTTCTCCATGCGTGTTTACTAACTAGCTTTTGACTGGCCATTTTGAGTTGCGCTTGAATCTAGCTCGGGATTTTGTCGAATTGCACTGGTGGGGATGTTTTGATAGCCTAAGAAAACAGCCGACACTTCGGGACAGTACTACTGGTTTCCCAGTAGCCTACGTAGCCGGCGGGATCGTTAGCGCGAACAAAGCCGGTTTCCGCCACCTACGCAGGCTAGTTTCCCCAAGAAATGGCGTCTGGGAAACGAGTGAAGAAATCCCATACTGACAACGTATCACTACCTTGCCTGAGAAAACAGCCGACATTTGGCGACGCTACCACTGGTTTTTCCGCCAAATGACGTCCGAGAAACGAGAGCAGAAATTCCATACTGATAACACGTCACTACCCAGATCTGGGTAGTGCTTCTGATTGGTCGTGCCGCGTGGGAAATTTGATTCAACCAATCAGAAACACTACCCAGATCTGGGAAGTGACGCGTCATCAGAATGGAATTTCTGCGCTCGTTTCTCAGACGTCATTTGGCGGGGAAACCAGTGGTAACGTCGCCAAATGTCGATTGTTCTCTCAGGCTACTGTCTTGAAGGACGAATTTGAAAAGTGGTATTCGTAGTTACGGTCAGTTTGAAAAAGATACGCTAATGTCCTCAAAATGTGTCATGCGCAGTGTAGACTTACTTGCCGGCACGCGAGCACTCAGTGTTCGTGTGGCCGCCATCTTCGCTTTGTAAACAAGGTAAAAGTGCCCTACGTCCGATATATTAAAATTCTTACATGACTCCGAGACAAATATTACAAACTTTTCACGATTCTATTGTCTTGCAATTCCCAGAAAAGACCTGAGCACAAATAAAACCAACCACATATACAATACTGTCTATGCTGAAAGACGAGATCTACTTTTCGTGTTTATGTCGCAGTTCGATCATTTGAAACAAATCTTGACGCTGAAGTTCTAAAAAGATGAAATAATAAACAACATAATAAAATAATAATAATAAGTAATGGTAATAGGACTGAGTGGAGTATAGGGACCTTAAGCAACGAGGACGACGACGGCAGTGAAAACGTCGCTAAAAAGTAAATTTGCGTTCTTTCAAACTTAATCGCGTCTATTTGGACCCGCTCAATATGTCAAATGCAGGCGACTTTTCCTGGAGTTGAATT